AAAAAATTAGCAGTACGACGAAAACACAAAAATATTGCAAAAACGGGCATTTCTACTCTCCTTAGCCATGATAGAATTAAGAAGGTAAAGCCATGGCTTGGATCAATTTCGGCCCATAAAGAAAAAAGGAGCGTAGGGTCAAAATCGAACTAAGTCAACCGAAAACTCCTTAATTCCTCTACGAAGAAGCCAGCCGATGACTTAAGCCAGTCAAAAAAGTCCTTTATGTACTCTCACCTTTACGTATCTGCACCTTGTTTTCAAATATTTTTCAAAATACTTCTTCGAACAATAGGTTTGTAAGACAATTCTTGGTCCAAATGGAAATCATTTCAGATCATTATTTTTAGTTTATTATCCAAAAAATAATTTATCAAAAGTTTTAATTTTTAAATTTAAAATTAACGGATCATGTATTTTTTTAAAATACCTTCTCGACCGTGCATTCAAATAAGATTGACACTACCATTCCACTATGCCATGTTAGCCAAAGGGGTATCAAAACACTGCAGTTATCGGTCTTCCATGGTTAGACATTTTTCCGCTTTGACATCGTACAAATGACAGCAAGCAGCAGTGGTGGTGGTCGTTGCAGTTTTCTCTGTTAATTTTTCGTACAAATTTTAAGTTAAATAAATAAATCGTTTTGAAAACTCAAAAAATGCCCATTGACGATGACAGTGATTTTGAAGATGGATCCGAAGTTGAGAAGCCAACAATTACTCCACATAAGCCAACTGCGACGCAAGAAACAGACGAAGATGTAAGCGAATTGCCTAAAAGTAGGCTACGACCTTCAATTGAAAAATTCATTGGAATTTACTTTGAATTCTAGGAACAATTCGATTTGGATGACCTGCTCCCATCCATTGGAGAATTTGGCAAATATCAAAAGTTGCTGGTCTTTGGAATATGTCTTCCAGCTTGTATACCATGTGGTTTTTGTGCTTTCAATCAACTTTTTATGGCCGACACGCCCACGGATTATTGGTGTCGGGTACCAGAATTACTTAACATATCATCTGTGGAGCAGAGAAAACAATTGGCATTGCCTCCAGATATGGTAAGATGATGAATGATTCATGTCCAAAAATTTTTCATCATCTGACAGTTCCCGAAATTTTGTGGAAGCCATATTGTATGTGACATTGACATTGTCAGAGTGAAAGAGTTGATGAACGGTATGAAAGAGATAGATGTAGGTGATTTGTTTACATTTCAAAACAAATGTAATATAAACAATTGTTGTTTACATACCGGTATTTAGAAGAGTGGAGGAAAAAGGCGAGAGACAAAACGATGAGATTAATGCGAGGTGAATGCCTTGAGCACGTGTCATTTATGGGGACTGAAGGAGAGAGTGCTTAAAAGGAATGTGTGACTGGCTCAAGTCATCGACTGGCTTCTTCACAAAATAACAAAGGATCGTAGGGTTAAGAAGTATAAATTATGTACCGAAATTGAACTAAGTCAACCTAAAGCTCCATTGTTCAAAGACATAGAAGTATAAAGATGGGACAAGTCAGAGTCAAAATATTGTCACCAGGTGTAAATACCTCTGTTGTTACGATATCATAACAACATAATCACCAATGTTAAGTTGTTTTAGCAGCAAATGCATATTCAAACGTCAGTGAGATGCAATTTTTAGTTCAAATTTTGGTTTACACAAAATTTATTCTTAAATTGCTCTGTAAATATAATTTTTATGCTAACATGTCACTGTTGTGAGAAGCGCCTCTATATATTTTTCACATTAACTATTTTTCCATTATGCATTTTGTCCAGTCTTACCATTTTAGGTCTTTGCATTGTTAATTTACAAAGAAGCCAAACGATGACTTAAGCCTGTCAAAAAAACGTTTTATGTATTCTCACCTTAAAACACTTAAGGTGGGCTTCTTCGTAGAGGAACAAAGGAGTTTTAGGTTGACTTAGTTCGATTTTGACCCTAGGTTCCTTTGTTCATTTCCGAAGAAGCCATGCGATGAATTAAGCCAGCCAAATAAGCGCTTTATGTATTTTCAATTTTAGTCTCTACAAGGTCAACCTAAAATCCGTTCTACGCTCTTTTACATTTTACAAAACAAAAAAAACAGTAGATGATTTATGCCAGAAAAAAATGTTCTTATGTATCCCCACGTTTACTCCATTTTTTATAGTCCTACACCAATAGTGCTAAGGGTATTATGTCTTTGTGCATTTGAGTCCATTTATGTATGTCAGTCCGTCCGTACGTCCTTCTGTCGATGTATTTTGTTAACAAAATACATGCCGCATTATTATCAGAATAATGAGAAATTTTCCAAGCAATATTTGTTCAGCCCACGGACGAACCCTATTTGGGTTGAGAGGTTCAAAATTTAGATATAGATCCCATACATATCATCAACCGACTTCGGGTTAATTGTACACCAAATGGCAGATATCGTCCAAATGGCCTGAATTTTGCACATCCGACCGAATTCAGTCTAGAAGTAAGTACATCAATTTGAAGAAAACGGTTCAGATATCGCTATAGCTTAAAACTACTTAAAAATATCTCTTTCAAATTTTATCGAGATCGGATCAGATTAAGATATAGCTCCCATGTATATATTTATCCGATATCAGGTTTACTGTCCACCAAATGGCTAATTTCAGCCCAAATGGATTGAATTTGAGCAATTCCGACTAAATTCATCCTAGAAACAAGTACATCAAATTTGCGGAAAATCGGTTCAGATATTGCTATAGCTCCCATATACAGGGTAAGATGAAAAAACTAATAAAAACCAACTTCAGACTGCTGTCATTTCTAAGCCACTCGTCCAACAGCTGTTAAAATTATTCCAGTGACAGCTCATTGTAATGTTTACAAGCGTACAAAAGCATTTTGGTGAGAATTTTCCAGAAAAAAAGTTATTCGTGATGGAATTCAAGCGCGATATGTGATTTCTTTATTTGGCTGGACAACCACAAGAGGCTATCGTTAGAGCACTCCAGCATTTAATGTGACTAAATCTTTTGTGCTCGGTACCTTAAAACTGGTAGCGTAGCCCGACGTCAAGGAAGTGGACGGAAGAAAACAGCAACATCTGCAGAAATGGTTCGAAAAGTAAAGAAGCGGACTTGATCGAAACCCGCGTCGCAGTGGCCGAAAATGGCTCGTGAGCTGAACATATCGCAATATTCCATTCGGCAAATATTGAAAAATGAGCTCGGGGTAAGTGCAGGAACTTACATCGAACAAAAGGAAATAGACTCAAAAGAGCCAAGAGTTGCTTCGCTGGGCCGAAAGTGGTGAACTGCCGAATTGGGTTTCTCCAATGAGAAAACATTTGTTGTCCAGCAGTTCGTAAACAAACAAAATGATCGTGTTTACTTGCCAAAGAGGTCAGCTGAAAATGTGCACCTTCGGTTGGCCACCAGAACTCAAGCGGCGGCCATGGTAATGGTGTGGACCGCCATAACAGCCGATGGTCGCTCTGTGCTCGTATTAATCGACCGTTGCATCAAAATAAATGCCGAATATTGTCGCGAAATATTCTGGAGGGTGTATTAAAGCCTTGGGCACGCAAACAGACCTTGAACATTCCAACAGCAGTTGCAGTATTTTTTATCTCACCCTGTATACACCCACAACAAAGATATTTGATACCGGGCATCAGATACTGCTCGAAAATATATCTGCCAAATTTTATCGCATCGGTTCAGATTTTTATACAGCTTCCATATACATCTTCATCCGATTTTACGGTTATTGCTCACCAAATATATCGGTAATAGATTTTTCATATTCAACCGAATTTTACCGGACCCCGACCGACTCTTGACATTCCCTTTCGAAATGTATTATTCATATAGAGAATTGCATTTGAAATGTGGAATAACTCGTTATTTCTCTTTTACAGGATCATCACACCGGTGAACATAGTAAATGCTACAGATATGCGGTCAATTGGTTACAACTTCTTGAAAATACCACCATTAATGACTTGAAACCGGACCCATCTTGGCCAATTGAAAAATGCGAGAGGGTTGGGAATACGATACCACCGAAGTGTGGTCCTCGATTGTAATCGACGTATGGAAGGCTCCTTCACTAAACAATTAAATCAAACAACTTAATCTAAGGCTTCTTTTCTAACTTTCATAGCAATCATATATGTGTGTGTGTGCGTAGGTAATGCTAGTTTTCGAAAAAATCATTTCATTCCCTAAAAATGCTGTGCACCTTGTGGAATCTATGACGAGTTATTTTAACGTTTATTCTCTTTAGTATGATTTAGTATGTGACAAGGACATTTATCCCACAATTGGTTTGGCAGCCCTAAATGTGGCGGCCCGATTGGCGTGTATTTGTTTGGTTTGTTAAATGATCGTGCCGGTCGGAGGACATCGTATTTCGTTTGTTTGGCCACATTACTGATCGGCAGTCTTATTACATCGATAAGCAAGGATTTTTGGACATGGGCTGGAAGTCGAGTTATTGTGGGTCTAACCATACCCGCTGTATATCAAATTCCATTTATTATATGTGAGTATTCAAGAGATAATTTTAAAAATTATAGATCTAATTGATATTGAAAATTTATTTAAAAAAAGGAAATAATCAAAGGAAGATTTTTTTTCGAGAAAAAAAATTTTTTTGATTTATTACACTGTGCGACAAATTCATTTTTTTTTTTTTTTGAATTGCTGGATAAACTCAGTAATGGTGGGAATACATCCTTTATGTATTCCCACCTTAAATAGTGAAAGTAGAGCTAACAAGTAAAGAAGCAGCTAAGTTCGGCCGGGCCGAACTTTTAATACTCCGCACCATTTCGAAGGTGCAATTCGTTCGAAAGATAGCGTGATTGCTACAGACAAACAGACGGGCATCGCTAAATCGTCTTAGAATTTTACGCTGGTCCAGAATACATATACTTTATAGGGTCTATCATGAATATTTTGAGGAGCTCCAAATGAAATGACAAAGCTAATATACTCTCCATAGAATGGTGGAACGTATAAAAAGAGAAGACACATGTATCGGCACTATTTATCAATATTGCGGCGGTGGGTCCTACGATACCTTAGTCTTGTTAGTTAATTTTTCTGCTTTGGGGACAGCATATCCCAGATTTGGAGCGTGCCAGGATTGAAGCAAATCGCGGTCCAAAATTCTGTTCGGTTTGTCAAAACATCATACACCACAGATCTGCCTGGTTGCGATATAATGAATGCAGAGAATACGTGTAGAGAATACATGCAGAGGGTACATTTAAGGAATTGTTCCCAACTAAGCCGGTTGGGAGACTACCTCCAAAGGGATTTAATTTCATTGTGCTGCAACAATGTAGTTCCTGGCGATTCTGCCCCTTGGTCTTCAAAACGCCCGAGTCGTTGTCGGAGTGTTGAACCGACAACATCAAACCTACCCGAAACATCTTACGCCACATGTTAATGTTCCAGTTCCGGATTATGATATTTTTGGCAAATCAATTTCAACGGACTCCGAGGTAAAACTAATAGTAGAATTTATGAATCAGAGGAACATTTTAATCGAAGCGGAAAATGAATCGAAACTCAATGAAAATTGCAGCACATTACGTTGTAATGTTTACCAGAAGTGGAGGTGGAGGATTAGTATTCCGGAGCTAGTATTGAGTGATCCGTTCATGGGATGTACGGGAGTAGAAGTCAAGTGTGGAACTGCTGAGGTAAAGGTCCTTAATATATACATCCCGCCTTTTAACACCGGTGAATCGCGTTAACCACGGAAAAGCTTACTGGCCAGAAATCAGAGAATTCACCAATCTACCCTTCGGAAACTGTCCAACACTCCTGATGCTCGGGAGCAAAAATGGTTTTCCAAGACATCAACAAAGCTGCAGTCGCTCTCTATATACCTTATGGTCTATCACCATATATGAGATCAAATTTCGCAGCAGATGCAGCAGGACTAGCGAATGGGGGTGATGAGCTCCGGCGAGTCAAATCTACTGATGCCAGAATCAGCGAACTGGCAGTGAAAGTCAAAAGGTTAAGAGGAAAAAGTGGCTAGACCATCTGAAGTGTTGCAACATTGGAACCGATGTGAGTAAGCTGTGGATAATCGCTATCGGCAAAATGATGATAAGTCTTCAATAACTGTTAACGAAGTAACGGTGGCTGATCCAAAAATGTTCGATGTATATTTTGACCTACAAATTGTCGAGCGCCCCAAGAGTGATGATGCTAAGCCAAGAGTACTACATCGTATAAGATATGTTCCCACCACTGATGTATCACCAGAGTATACTAAGACTAAGTCATCCAAGCATTAGGCCCGGACGGAATGTCAATGGTAATATTGAAACAACTGAATACACCGGGAGTCGGGTATCTTAGTCCTTAATCAACCGCCTAGAAAACAGGCTGGGTGGTCCCTCTACTGAAGCCAAACAAGTATGAAAGCAAATGCGAATTATACAGGCCAATTTCGCTTTTGTCACCAGTGGCAAAGACTCTTGAGGTATTGCTCCTCTACAGCATCGGTGGCCAACCATCAACACGGCTGCCGTCTGCAACAGCATTGTACGCCACATCCACACATATTATTCGAAGATTTAACCAGGACAGGCCGAGCTATATATGTAGTGGTCTGTGGATAGCTATGCGGCTCCAGTGTGATCTACGAATACGAGTACAACACACTGGAAAACCAGTGAAGAAAGTCTTAAAGTCGGGCGGGGCCGACTTTATGATACCCTACACCACTTTGCTAATTTAGTAGAGCTCCACATAACAATTAAAAGTTTTTATGGGAGAATACAATCATACACCCTATGAGTATAATTATAATTTAAAGTTCAAAGGACTAAATATGCCGAAGCATTTGTCTTTTAAATTCGGACTTGTATTGCCCATTTGGTGCACAATTATTTTGAAATCGGATAAAGATATATATGTTAGCTATATCCAAATCTGAACCGATCTCGATAAAATTTGGCAAAGATATTTCCGAGCTGTATTTGATATATTTCCCTGAATATCGTTGTTACAAAGTGCATTTTACGGTTGTGGGTAACAAATATAACAAATCGGATGAATAATATATGGAAGCTATAGCTACATCTGAACCGATCTTCACCAAATTTGACATAATAGCTTCTAGACTCAATTCGGTCGTAAGTGCCAAATTCCATCCCATTTGGACAAATATTAGAGGTTTGGTGCCCAATAAAAGGTAAATCGGACGAAGTTATATATGGGAGCTATATCCAAATCTGAACCGATCTCGATAAAGTTTAGCAAATGTATTTCTGAGCTGTATTTAAAATATTTCCCCAAATATTGTTGTCGCAGAGTGCATATTACGGCGGCGGTGGACAAAAATAACAAATCGGATGAACAATATATATGGGAACTATAGCTATATCTGAACCGATTTCGATCAAATTTGGCATACATATTTTCAGGCCTAATTTGAGTGTATGTGCAAAATTCCATGCAATTCTGGCTGATCTTACACGCTTGGTGCACAATAAATGGCAAATCGGGCGAAGATATATATGGGAGCTATATCTAAATTTTGACCGATTATCTCCAATTTCAATAGGGTTCGTCCTTGGGCCAAACAAATGATCTGTGCAAAATTTCATCTGGATCGGGCAATAAATGCGACCTGTACATTGTTTACAAAAATACATGGACAGACGGACGGACGGACATGCATAAATCGACTCAGAATGTGATTCTATGCGGATCATCAAAAGGAACTATGAGTCTATCTCGTTTCCTTTGCCTGTTACAAACAAATGCACAAACACATAATACCCTGACCACCTTGTGGTGTAGGGTATAAATATTCAAACCCGCCAGAATGCCGCTCAGGGCGCCTCCTCATGACTCCAGTGGACAGTGTACATAAGAAAACGAAGTTTTTCTCTTACGTCAGCATAATCATATGCTCTATGAGTCACCCTATCCCTTATGGTGGACAAAATTCACCCAGGTGTGGCAGGAATGACATGCATGATCTACAGAGAGAGGTCCAACGATACAAGACTGAGTATCTATTGATTCTGATAAAGTCACCGATGTAGTTAACCATTACAGTATGAATGTCATTTTTATACCCTCCACCATACATAGTATGGAAGGCATATTAAGTTCATCACTTCGTTTGCAACTAATAGAAATAATAATTTTAGACCTAACAAAGTATACATATTCTTGATCAGCGTAAAATTCTAAGGCGATTAGCCCTGTCCGTCCGTCCGTTTATCCGTACATCTGTTGTAATCTCGCTATAGTCGAAACAAATTATGCTAGGAAGCTAAAATTTTCACAGATCAGTCTTTTGTGTGCTTCAGGTCAAGTTCAAAGATTGACTATATCGGTCCACGATATCGTATGGCCCCCATATAAATGTACCTCCCGATATTCGGTTTTTTTGATGTTTTTAGGCAGATTTTCAATGGAATTGTCTGAAATTCTACACAAGGATTTCTTTGTGGCTACTTTTCATTAAAGTGGTATTTTTCTACGTTGTTTTTTTTTAATTATTCAAGATCCTTCAAAATTGTGGATGGTATTAAAAGTTCGGCCCGACCGAACTTAGCTGCTTTTTTACGTGTTAGCTCTACTTTTATAATGTGCACAGTGTTAGTTGGCCAACAATTATTAAAATTACACTGAGTACAGAATTTTATAAATACATTATTTCTCTCCTTCCTCTCTCTCTCTCTCTCTCACCATTACAGCTCTCGAGCTGGTCGGAGAAAACTATCGTTCATTTGTAACCGTTATGACGTGTACCTTTTACACCTCGGCTATTATGATATTATCCGTTGTAACATATCTAGAAAGGGATTGGGTTAAACTCTCCTACTACACCTCTGTGCCGTTCTATGCTTATTTTCTCTACCTATTCATTATGCCCGAATCACCACGTTGGCTACTGATGAGAGGAAGACTTGAAGAAGCTCTAAAAATTCTAGAGAATATGGCAAGGGTAAATGGTCATGAATTTCCACCGGTTATTAAAACCAAATTAGAAGCTCAAATTTCGCGTGACAAATTAAAAGAGAAGAAGAAGCATGTGAACGCTGGAGTTTCCGATTTATGCAGGTAAGGTAAAAAAAGAAACAAATCATCAAAATTAATAATAATTCCCGTTTACAGAACTCCCAATATGCGTTTGAAGACCCTGCTTATTACCCTTAGTTGGTTTGCCAATGAAACTGTATATTTGGGTCTAAGTTATTATGGCCCCTCTTTGGGCAGCAATCAATATGTTAGCTTCTTTTTGTCGGCAGCTGTTGAGATACCAAGCTACTTGGTATGTTGGTATCTCATGGATACATGGGGACGGCGCTGGCCTTTGTCGTTATCCATGATTTTGGGGTAAGTATATATGAAGAGAATTGAATTTAATAGGAGTCATTCATAATCTTGTCATATTTTTTCAGTGGCGTAGCCTGTGTCATCACTGTAATGCTTCCCGATGATGCCGTAGATGAGACTCTATATTTGTATCTAATATCCAAGGCATTGTTATCAGCTTCCTTTTTGATTATCTATCCTTTTGCCGGCGAACTTTATCCCACACAAGTTCGAGGTATTGGTATTGGCGTTTCCAGTTATGTCGGTGGTCTAGGTCTTATTGTTATACCCTTTGTTACATATTTGGTAAGTACTGATTAATTTATAAAGATTTAATCTATTTCAGATTCGAAGGATTAATTGCCAGCTTCAGTTTTTATACTCTACAACACTATGTATTGGGGGTTTTATAAGTTTGGTTGAGCCAACATGTTTGTAACACCTCGAAATATTGAACCGAGACATAGGATGTTATATATGGACCTTCCTTTCTCGCCGAGCTGTGTCAATCTAGCTATGTGTGTCCGTCCGTCTCTCAATATTAATTTGTATTCAACCTACAAGTAACAGTTATGTACCAGTTACAGTGGTACATATTGGTGTTTGGTTTAAAAATAAGGCTACTTTAACAGACTGTAGCCGGAGATCTTCTGGAGTGAGTAGGTTTGGTGCATCGTATTGTGCTAGCCTGTACCACACGCCGGGCATACGTCACGCACATTATCGTACCCAGTACGAATTGAGACGACTACACCAACCTCGTTTGTCTAGGCAGCTGACGTTCTTCAGCTGCAATGGATGGGGGTGGACTCCGAATACGGCTTGATCCCGTAATTGCTGATAGCAATTGCATCTGTATGAATGCCACTCAGACCTGCCTGATAGGCTTCTTGATCTAGAGGTTCTCTCTTATAGCGTTGGACCTTCTCGTGTATGTCCTTGCTTAGACGCCTTGGTGGGGGAGTTGTATCCATCACATGATGACACTCACGATAACACCCAAGCAGGTACTGCAACGAAAGCATATGATTATGCTGACGTACGGGAAGGACCTTAGTCTCCTCGTTTAGATGGACCACTGGTGTCATGAGGAGGCATCCTGTCGCAGTTCTTGTTCCTACTTTTCATTTTATCGCAGATAGCTGTGGCTTACGCGGACGACTGGAACATGTTGACCTCTAGAATCTTGTGACACACTTCTCTTGTTCGGGTGGGGGAATCTTCGTTTACCACGCATAATGTGGAGCAGTCAATCTGCTCTGCCCCTGATCATTAACTAGGACGGAATACCACAACTCATAGTGGGCAACCGACTTAATCCGGAACAATTTCTGAAGAGCGCACATCATCTGCATCCATAGCATCGCACCGATACAATTCTGTGTTGGATGGTGTTCTGATAAACAGAACAGAACCAATCCAGGGTTTTTCTTCGATCCCAGCATGGACCTAAAGAATCCGGAGAAAAATAAACAAACACGAACATGTTTGGCCGAAATTGGGTTATTGCTATATCTGGTCAATCCGGTATTGTAGTACCCGTTGCCGTGGTAAAAGGAGCCTGCAGTAATCGGTGTCGTCGCCACCCCACCTTGAATGGATGGCCCTTATGTTACTGTGACCTGTGATAATTCCCACCGCAAGTTTTAGGTCTAATTTCGCTATGATGAAGATAAGCGACCTAGTTCTCTTTTTGGAGAGTGTCGGTCAAATTTTCTTCGAGACATTACATCCTCTTTCATTTAGCACGTTTCATTGAAATCTCCCGGAATAATGCTCGTACATCACTCAAAGCAAGTGGCTCAATGCTGTTCTAATCAAATTGTCGACCTCAATGTCAATTGATTCGGATCCACGTCTTGTCAGTTCCATCTGCTAATTCATTGCCTGAGATTTAACAATGGCCTGGAACCCAACAAAGCTTAAAGGATGACTTAACATTTTCCTGAATTTCCGTAAATTTAATGGTACATGTGCTTTTTAGTGCTTTCGGGGCCAGTTCAGTTCATTGATTCTATTTACTAGCAATTATATGGCCAGTTCCATCTGCTAATTCATTGCCTGAGATTTAACAATGGCCTGGAACCCAACAAAGCTTAAAGGATGACTTAACATTTTCCTGAATTTCCGTAAATTTAGTAGTACATGAATTTAGTGCTTTCGGGGCCAGTTCAGTTCATTGATTCTATTTACTAGCAATTCTATGGCTTTTCTCATAGCAAAGATCTCTGTCTGGAATACGCTACAGTCCTTGTTTTTTTGAAAGAGTATTCATGCTTCCGCAGAACACTTTCCATCTGTGGGCCATCGGTGTAGACGGCTATACCGTTGAAAAGTGGAATGTTTCCTGTCCAAATGTCCCTGCTAGGTATGTAGATGTCCAGTGATTCGAAGTGGAGTCTGGGTGATATATAGTCACTGGTTATAAACCGACTGTTACACACTTTAAAATGTCAGAATTCCCAAAGAACTGACTGCGCCAGGTAATAGAGATCTCATGTATAGTTACTTCTTATTTTAGCCTTAGTCATGGTACAATGAATTCAAAGTAGAGCAGAACTACCACATGATTTTATTTTTTTTTTATTTTTCCGGCCTAATATGTCAACTTCATTTGTTTATGTGTGTGTATTTTTTCAATAATAAAAAATTGTTCAGAAAATATTCAAATTTGGGTGTTTTCAAAATGCTTATTGCAACGTATGCATCGACAAAATCTACAGTTTTTGTGGCGAAATAAACCATAAGAGATATAGAACATAATTTTGAAAATAAATTTTGACCTTTCATTCATTTTTCGCGGTTTGAAATTATTTATTCAAAATCAATGCAACAAGTTGTTTGCTTTTTTATTGTTTTGATAGTAATTCTGACATTACAAGCCAAACAGGTAGACCTTTATACTTGCAATTTTTTCAAAGATAGCCTACCTTGTCTTCATTGTACCATGGCCTTAGTCACATTTTCCCCTCGATTTGATTGAAAATGTCTATTTTGGTTTCTTTGGCGATGGTTAACCAACAATATAAGTATTTTATTATTTTTCATTTTGTGGTGCTTTATAAACATAGTTTTATATTGGGCGCCATTTTGTCTTTGGTCGAGATTATATTTATAAAGAACCAGAGATCGAGACTACAATTTAACCCTGATTTTTTAAATATTTTTTGTAAGTCATAATCTTGCTAACGAAACCGATTTTCTATTTCCAGGGCAAGGAGAATCTCAAACTACCATTGGTAATAATGGGTTTCATGTCAATGCTGGGCGGCATTACAGGTTTGCGTTTGCCCGAAACCCTACATCATCGTTTGCCGCAAACCATCGAGGAGGGCGAAGAATTTGGCAAGGATTGGACGATCAAAAACTGTTGCAGCTGTAAGCCAGAAATGTAAGAATATCAACTTCTTGCCATTTAACATTTCCAATTCACATTACCTCTTATTTCATTTTAGTCAAACCTTAACATCTCAGCAGGCATCCTATGAAAATCTAGATGTCTTGGCATCAAATGCTGGGTCCGATGTTGAGTTGGAAATGAAAACATCCTCAGCCTCGTCATCGAAACGACATTCGGTGCGTTCACGTCCCAAATCGATTATCGATGAACGTACCCCCTTGGATGTTAATCGTCCCACTAGACCATCAATGCGAAGGCTGGTGCGCCAGATGAGTGTTATGGATACTCAGAGGACACAAGACGGAACTATGCAATTAACTCATTGGATATGAGAGGCGTTTGCGAATATAGTTCAATAATAAATATGAAATAATATCAGTATTGTATTCCTTAATCCGATGTTAAATGTAAACTTATTTCTAAGTTAATAAAGCCGCATTTGAAAAGGTAGCAAATTGTTGGCCAATAAAAAATGTTAATCAATCCGATTTTTTCGTTCATTTAAGGGACATTTTTTAGATCTACAAAATGTTTAAGGGCCCAAAATATGACCTTTGACAACTTTTTATACCCTACACCACGATTTATGCATGTCAGTTCGTCCGTCCATGTATTCTTGTAAACAAAATGCAGTTCACATTTATTGTCCGATTGAGATGAAATTTTCCAAACAATATTTGTTTGGCCCAAGGACAAACCCTATTGAAATTGGTGAGAATCGGTTCAAATTTAGATATAGCTCCCATATATATCTTCATCCGATTTAGGGTAAATTGTGCACTAAATAACCAATATCTGTCCAAATGACCTGAATTTTGGCAGATCCGACCGAATTCAGTCTAGAAGCAAGTACATCAAATTTGGTTCAGATATAGCTATAGCTCCCATATTCATATATGTTTCATCCGATTTAAGGTTTTAAGTCTCTCACATGCGTAATATGCATTCGACTGCATTGATATTTGGTACCAGGTATCGTATAGAGCTCGGAAATACATTTGCCAAGTTTTATCGAGATCGGCTAAGATTTGGATATATAGCTCCCATATATATCTTCATCCGATTTCGAGTTAATTGTGCACCAAATGGCCAAGATCGATACAAATGACCTGAATTTTTGGCAGATCCGACCGAATTCAGTCTAGAAGCAAGTACATCAAATTTGGTGAAAATCGGTTCAGATATAGCTATAGCTCCCATATATATGTTTCATCCGATTTTGGGCTTAAGGTCCCACACATTCGTAATATGCATTTGACAGCAATGATATTTGGTACCAGATATCAGATACAGTCCAGAAATACCTCTGCCAAATGTTATCAAAATCGGTTCTGATTTGGCTATAGCTCCACATATATCTTCAACCGATTTCGGGTTAATTGTGCACCAAATGGCCAATATCTGTCCAAAAGTCCTGAATTTTTGTACATCCGACCAAATTTAGTCTAGAAGCAAGTACATCAAATTTGGTGAAAATTGGCTCAGATATAGTTATAGCTCCCATATATATGTTTTATCCGATTTGGGGTTTAAGTCCCTCACATTCGTAATATGCATGGTACCAGACATCAGATACAGCCCATAAATACTTCTGCCAAATTTTATTGAGATTCTTAATACGATTTCAGATTTATTGTGCAAGTTATGCCTAATATCAGCCCATATGGATTGAATTTCGGGACGTCCGTTTCTATTTTGTGGAGCTCGGCTCCGATATATATTTTTTTAATATAATCCTTCTCGAAGTGATATCATGCACTCTATGGCAATGTTATTTGGTATAAAAGATAAAAATGTCTTCTTCAAATCCAGTGAAAATCGATTCAGAATTGGATATGCCTCCTATATATTACTTCCCTCTGAATCCAAATTAGAACTGCTCTAAAGCCAAATGTTGATAGGTGATATGATCTACTTCAAATAAATTCTTTTGTTACGGGAGCTCTACTAAATATGCATAGTGGTGTAGGGTATCATATAGTCGGCCCCGCCCGACTTTTGACTTTTCCTTACTGGTTTTATTTTTGGGTTAGTTTTTATTGTCCGGTATACATTTCTCTGTTGATATCTCTACTTTATCCAAGCATTCTCTCAATCTTAGAATTTCCCTTTAGAGTCTCCGCGTCCCTCATCAACCTCACAAGCCTTTATGGGCGTAGCAGTTAATTTTAAAAATTAACAAAGATTTTCGTCAAAAGGAAAAAATCAAACAAATTTCTTGTAGTCTATACATTTTTGTTTTGTTTTTATTTATTAAATATAGTTTAAATATTTTAAACTAATTATTACGTTATATGAAATTATTATCATTACTATATTTTTTTCATTCTTTTTTATTTGTTTTTGCAGTTGTTTTATCATTACAAAAAGAAATGGCAATAACATTATATTATCATTGTCTTCTCTACATATTAAATACGAATTTAGAATATGGACAAAACAAATTTGATTAAAAATCAAACTACAAAAAAATACTTGCGCAAGAAGTAATTGGAACCGATAAACATGAATTAATAAATTCGGAAATCACAAAGAAAAGGAATTGGAAACGAATATTTTCCCATTTTTCATGGGTAACGAAAAGATGATGATACTGATAGGCGGAAGTGTTTATTTTGAAAAATTAAATTAAAATATAAAGTTTTCCATTGAAATTAAGAAAAACGCATTTTGAAACTTTCAATTAAAAACATGATAATCTCCACGGAATATTTCAGATTATGGAATAATACTATTCAAAACGTTTGCATATTATTTCTAGCTCAAAAGAAATCAAAAGTTATTCCCTATGTTGCACATTTCGTATCGAATGTAAAGTAATTTTTGGAAATTTGGATGGAGAGGAGATTTTTTGTTAATACACTTGCTTGCTTTTTATGGATAATTTATTGCGCGTTTCATTCAAAAGATATGTGTAAATAGTGACAGCTATACACCTGAATTAGAAAAACAAAAACACAAATCATCGACTGGCCAAACTTTCAATAATTATGCTTCTATGGACAGCCTCAATTTCATTCAATTTACAGAGAGAGAAAAATAAACGAACAGAACACACACAGAGACACATATCTTTACGTTAATTCTATATTGAAATAAATCACAACTTAAATATAATTCTTTCTTATTTTTATCATATGCGTCACGAATCCCCTTCTGGCCAACGACAATGACAGACGCGACACTTGGGAGGAGTCACAACACAATTTATAATAAAAAAAATAATAATATTATAATAGCTTAAAAGCTATTCAATCGTAAAATAAAGCCATTTTAAATGTATACTCCAGTTTTAATCCACTTTTACAACACTGTAAATTTTGCGTATAAACCAGAAGCAGGCAAAGAAACCAATCGAACCGGTCAGCAAGAAAAATAGGAATACCATAATTGCCGTGTAGCCAAAGTACAGGAAAGTCGAGGGAGCATCTTTTATCGATAGTTTTGTCACAAAATAATGGCAACAATAAATGAAAAGATATACGGCCGTAAAGCCAGACGTCAAGAACGAACGCCACCACCAATGATAGTCCTCTGCACACAGATGGAAATAGCACAACAGAATTGTCGTCTCCGAACAGGTGATAACCAAAATTACAAAGACCAAGAACAGGAAACCGAACATGTAGTACATTTGGTTCGACCAAATTGAGGAGAGTATGAAAAAGAGCTGGATGAAAATACAGCCAAAGGGTAAGACGCCACCCATAATAATGCCAGGAATGGGTTGAGTATAAATCGATTGGTCGGGAATTTGACGCGGTATTTGATTTGTGCGTACGGGGTGTTCCAAGGACTGAAAGAAAAGTAACAGGAATTATTAAAAGTAACTTGAAAATGTCTTTGAAAACTTACCCTTTTACGGAAACCAAAGTAGGCACCCACAAATGTTAGAGGTACCGAAACGCCAAACCACAAAGCCAGCAGAGCAATCAGGGTGCTGAAGGGCACAGCACCGGATGATCCCTCACCCCACAAAACGAGATTCATTACAAAGAAGAGGCCAAAGACAATGCTGCAAAGATAAGACAATAAATATTAAATTTAATACAAATGGAAGCGAGATAGACCCATAGTTACTTTTGAGGATCTTCATAGAATCGCTTTCTTAGTCGATTTATGTATGTCAGTCCGTCTGTCCATCCGTCCATGTATTCTTGTGAACAAAATGCAGTTCGCACTTATTGTCCGATTGAGATGAAATTTTCCAAACAATATTTGTTTGGCCCAAGGATATACCCTATTGAAATTTAGATATAGCTCCCATATATATCTTCATCCGATTTCGGGTAAATTGTGCACTAAATAGCCAATATCGGTCCAAATGACCTGAATTTTGGCAGATCCGACCGAATTCAGTCTAGAAGCAAGGACATAAAATTTGGTGAAAATCGAATCAGATATAGCTATAACTCCCATATATGTTTCATCCGATTTTGGGGTTTTAAGTCCCTAACATGCGTAATATGCTCTCCACAAGAACAATATTTGCTACTGGACATAAGATATTGCTCGAAAATACCTCTGTCAAATTTTATCGAGATCGGTTCAGATTAGGATATGGGAGGTATATCTTTATCCGATATCAGGTTTATTGTGCACCAAATGGCTAATATCAGCCCAAATGGACTTCATGTTGGCAATTCCGACTGTATAAATTCCAGAAACTCGGTTCAGATATAGTTTTAGCTTCCATATATGTTTCTTCCGATTTGGTGTTTAGGTCCCTCACATTCGTAATATGCATTGGACAACAATGATATTTGGTACCATATATCAGATACTGCCCAGAAATACCTCTGCCAAATTTTTTCAAGATCGGTTCAAATTTGGATATAGCTCCCATATATATCTTCAGCTGATTTCGGGTTTATTATGCACCAAATAGCCAATATAAGTCCGAATTACCTGAATTTTGGTAATTACGACTCAATTTATCCTAGAAGCAAGTACATCAAATTTGGTGAAAATCGGTTCACATATAGCAATAGCTCCCATATATATGTTTCATCCGATTTGGTGTTTAAGTCTCTCGCATTCGTAATATGCATTCGACAACAATGATCTTTTTTACCAGATATCTTGTAGAGCTCGGAAATACCTCTGGCAAATTTTATCAAAATCGGTTCAGATTTGGATAAAGCACCCATATATATCTTCAGCCAATTTTGGGTTTATTGTGCTAATAATGGCTAATATCAGCCCAAATGGAATGCATTTCGGACATACTTTTCCATTTTGTGGAACTCGGCGGCGATACATATGTTTTAATATAATCCTTCTCGAAGTGATATCATGCACTCTATAGCAATATTATTTCGTATAAGAGATTAAAATGTCTCCGTCAAATCTGGTTAAAATCGATTCAGAATTGGATATGCCTCCCATGTATAAGTTTTCTCAGAAACCAAACTATAACTGCTCTAAGGCCAAATGTTGATAGGTGGTATAATCAAATAAATTCTATTGTTACGGGAGCTCTACTAAATATGCATAGTTGTGTAGGGTATAATATAGTCGGCCCCGTCCGACATTTGACTTTTCCTTACTGGTTTTCGATTATTGTAGTACAAAATTGTACATTCTTGCAGTTCTAGTTTTTTTGGTGGCATAACGTCTTTAGTTGGTATTTAAACATTCAAGACTTAATCCCACTGTCTGTCTACTCACTAGAAAATATCATTTTTTCCACAGAAACAAGAAGGGAATTGAGTCTATTTTGAAACAACAAAACTTATATACTTTTTTATCATCCACTTACCCTGGACACAGCATAGATGTCAAAATAACATTACTCTTCCATTTGATGCCACCAAAACTCTTATAGATGCGTGCCGATACATAGCCAGCCGGTGTACCCAATGCCACAAACAACACCATGGAACATGTCATCAAGGCACCACGATTAGCTGGCGACAGGAATCCCAAACAGGCAAAGGCCAATGTAATCAAAGTCATGCAAAAGACCTGAATACCCGAGCCCAAGAACACCGACAACAGCATACCCTTACGTGGTGGACGGAAAACATCACCATGTACCAATTTCCAACCAAACTCCTCCTGGGCATCTTCACCACTTTCCATTTGATTGTAACGGGCAATGTCTTTGTGTAGGGTTCGCAACATAATCATGGCCACCATACCGGACAGGAACAAAACAATAACCAAAGAATTTAAAATAGAGAACCATTGAATGTTCGTGTGTGGCATTGATTCCAAAATGTAATCCCATCTTGAAGACCATTTCACATTATCGTTACGTGTAAATTCCACACTATAGGTGTAGATAATAGACAGCTTTTCACCAGAGGCCAATGGGCCACCCTTAATGGCCAAGGGATCGGTGTTGTCACAATTCAAATTTTTAGGATCCACATGATTAATGGAACGTGGTGTAACTTTAACGGAAATAATTCGTCCGCCATTGGCCCGGAAACCCACACCCCATTCCTCGGTTTGGCCACTGTGATAGGTTACCTTCAGGTCAACATGATTGAAGGGATAATAAAAGCCACGTCTATTGTAGTTGGGATTAATCAAACAGCCAGCATCACTTTCGCCACGCACCAAACAACCCATGGGGAAACCAGTGCTGCAATATTGCTTATTGTTTTCCAATGGGTAACACCAAGTCACTGGCATATTATCAACAATCCAATGATGTTGGTAATTCAAGCTAATGCCCTTCTTGAGGACCATCATACGTCGATCGCTATCCGAATCACCACCGACATAGGTTTTAGTACAGACCTGGAAAAAAATAAATAAATATTAGACGTCTCTATAATTTTTTATTTACAGAATTTTTTATGTATTCAGTGTGACTATTGGATATTTTAACAAAGAAGGGTGTAATCCTTTATTATATCTATTACAAATAAAACAAGTTGGAAAATATCAGTTGGTTTTGCCGATGTTCAGCCAATGTTCGATTATTTAAATATATTTTAACTTCTGTTATGATTATTCAAGTTGTTGACCCTCTGTGGAGTAGGTCCGATGAAATGGGCCACTATTGTGTATTTCGTATCGGACCTAAAAAAATATGTTATAAATATTGCAACATGCCAGGTTTTTACTATATCGACAACTTCCTTCACTTTATATGAGATATGTGATAGTTTTTAGAAAATGTTGAAATGTGCGTGGGGTGCTAGATATAATCGATCGAAGTATTCCATTTTCATACTTCATCTAATACAGATAAGAAAATATTGGTATGGACAAAATTCCAAAAAATCGAACATTTATATCCAATTTTATGCGAAATCATAAATACCATATTCATCTCAGGTTTCTGGTTGGTCGCTGACTTGTTTCGCAATTTATGACAGATAAAAGTATTGAAAAATGTGACCCTTTATGGGTGAGGTACCAGAAGGGGCTGGCAGATATATATATCATCTTCCCAATAGATCTTACGTAAGTAAAAATATTTGGGTGTGTGAAATTTGAAGAGAGTTGGATGCCTTTTTCGCTTTCTTTGAGCGTTTTTTTTTTTAATCTTAAACCCTATGTGGGGGAAGTACCAGAAAAAATTGTCCGATCTCTACCATCTTTATAACAGATCATATGTTGATGGAAATATTGAGATGTACCAAGTCTGAATGGAATCGGGTGCTAATTTCCCGTTTTTATGAGCTACATGGATACCCTTTGTGGGGGAAGTACCAGAACGAGTGGACTGTATATCCCATTTTCACACCACACTTTGGGGTAATAAAAATATTGTGATGTGTGTAGTTTGAAGAGAACTAACTGGTAATTATGATCATTTAGGTTATTCAAAACTTCGACCCTTTGTGGGGGAGATACCAGAAGGAATAGTCCGATCTCTACCATCTTTAAAACAGATCTTGTGTTGATGGAAATATTGAGATGTACCATGAATGGAATCGGATGTTAATTTCGTTTTTTATGAACTTCATGAATATTCATTGTGGGAGATATCATTGTGTGGGAGATACCAGAAGGAGTGGACCGGTATTGCCCATTTCCGAACTCGATGTAAGTTTAACAATAATATTAGGTTGTACGAAGTTTGAATCAAATCGGATACTCCCTTTGAGAGTTATCGTGCACACCAGCCCAGTAGTCAGACAGACACATGGACGGACGGACATGGCTAGATCGACTCCAAATGTCCTGAAACGGTTTTGGCCCAAAGAAACCTAGGGTGTAAAACCATTATTTCGATGAGGCACGTTTTGGCCGTATCAAATGATATATACCCTCACTAGCCATATGGCTGAGGGTATAAAAATTAAAAATGACAATGCTAAGATGTTTCCACAGATTTTCATAGGTCCCCTTACATTTTTAGCTACTCTTGATAAAATCTACAACCAATGCTGAACACATTGTATGTTTACACAAGTGTCATAACAATAACATTTCATATATATGGCTCCCACCACACACACTTCCTGCAACTCCCTCTCCATGCTAAAAGGAATTTTAATGTTAAGTAAAAATAAACAAAAAAGGTATCTAAATAGTCAAGTATGTTTCAAACATTAGACATAATGTTCTCTTCTGACGAAAACATAACACTCACGTATTACATGTTTCGATCAAAACAACATAGATAAGATTTTACCATCACCATGGAAATAACAAAATAATAGATATTGTAAAACAATTAAATACTTACCGCCTTACATTTGATGTCTTCAAGAAAATTGATTTTATATGGTCCGGGACGTATACGTTCGCCAAACACAACTTGGCCCAAATTCTCAACGGGAGAATTGTTTTCATTGCCAATACAAAAATCAAAATGATGATATTCATAGGGTATAACAGATTCTTCGGTATTTAGGCGATTAACGTAGAGGGTAACATTAGACTGGAAAAAGAGAAGAAAATAAACGGGCATTATAATTTATGTTAAATTTATTTTATATTAAATGCATTGAAAACCACTAAATATTAGAAAAAAGTTGCCATTTTAAAAAGATATATTTACAATTTAATATACCTTGTTGAGAGAAGAGCGTATTTCCTAAATTAACATATTAAATACATACGACAATGGTAGGATAATACAGTATACAGAGTGAGATGAAAAAAGTGCGACCAACTTTAGACTGCTGTCATTTTTAAGTCACTCGTCCGACAGATGTCAAAATTATTCCAGTCACATCTCATTATAGTGCCTACAAGCGCACAAAAGTATTTTGGTGAGAATTTTCCAGAAAAAAAGTTATTCGTGATGGAATTCAAGCGTGATAGTGTGATTTCTTTATATTTGGCTGGAAAATCACAAGTGGCTATCGTTAGAGCATTCCAGCATTTGAATGTGAATTAATCTTTTGTGTCTCGTACCACCGTTCGTTACCGTAATACTGGTAGCGTGGTCCGAAGTCAAAGAAATGGACGGAAGAAAACAGCAACATCAGCAGAAATGGTTCGAAAAGTAAAGAAGCGACTTGATCGACAGCCGCGTCGCAGTGGCCGAAAAATTGCTCGTGAGCTAAACATATCGCAATATTCCATTCGGCAAATATTGAAAATGAGCTCGGTATAAAGCCACTGAAATTCCAAAAAGTGCAAGAACTTACACCGCAACAAAAAGTGGTGAACTGCCGAATTTGGTTTTCTTCGATGAGAAAACACTCAAGCAGTTGTCCAGCAGTTTGTAAACAAACAAAATGGTCGTGTTTACTTGCCAAAGAGGTCAGCTGAAAATGTGCACTTTCGGATGGCCACCAGAACTCAAGCGCCGTTCATGGTGTGGGCCGCCATAACAGCCGATGGTCGCTCTCCGCTCCTATTAATCGACGTGGCATCAGAAAAAATGCCGAATATTATCGCAAAAATAACCTGGAGGATGTATTAAAGGAATGGTTACAAAATGAGATTCCTCGCTTCATTTCCAGCGCACAATGGTCACCAAAATCTCCGGATACCAATCCGTTGGACTATTGTGTCTGGAGTATTTTGGAAAGCAATGTTGGCACTAAAAAAATACCAAAGTGTCGATCACCTCAAGCAAGCGATTCACCTGGAATGGGCCAAAATACCGCAGAGCAACATTCGGGCAGCGTGTGACGGTTTCATTGGCCGTTTGAAGACCATAATTCGTGCCAAAGGTGACCAATTCGAACAAATCTAAACTTATTCTAAAGTTTGATGCTATTTACGACCTTTTTTGCCTTCATTCAATAGAATTTAAAAAGAAAAATGTAAAAATTATAGCGTTTAACTTTGTTTCAGTTTTTTATCTCACCCTGTACATGGGAGCTATAGCTATATCTGAACCGATTTTCAGCAAGTTTGAAGTACTTGCTTCTAGACTGAATTCGGTCGGATGTACCAAAATTGAGATCATTTGGACTGATATTGGCCATTTAATGCATAATTAACCGGAAATCGGTTGAAGATATATATGGGAGTTACATCCAAATCTGATCCGATTATCACCAATTTCAATAGGGTTCGCCCTTGGGCCAAACAAATATTGTTTGGAAAATTTTAAGCCATCGTTTGCTCCGGATATCAATAATATTTGGTATGAAACATTTTGTGTTCAACCTAAAACAAGTAAGCAAAGGCTTTGGTTAGGCGGCGATACAGATTCTGAAAAGGATTTCCTTTAACATAACGTAGAGCAGCTCTTAATTATTGCACTATTCTTATATTTAAAATTATAAAAGAAAAGCATAGCTATTAGACCAAAAATCCCTTTAGCGTAAAAATAAAAAAAAAATTCACTTTCACAACTCATTTTTATTGCAGCACCATTTCTAATCTACATTTAAACCAAACTCACAGAAATTTAGGATGGGTATTAATCGATGTCTTCTTATTTCCAAGATATTTTTTATTATTATTACTTTTGCTCTCCACGACCACACAAATCTCACTTTTTTAGCCAATTTTAATTAAAAAAAAACAACATGTCTTTTTTGATTAAAAAGACATACCACCAAAAGGGGAACACTAAACCATATTAAAAACGTAACTAAAAAACACAGATCTTTGATGAGTATTGACTTTTTTTTAAAATGTCAAAACCCTGAACTTGTAGAGTGAGATATAAGGTCACAGGGTTAATGTGACTATCAAGCAGCTTTATGATCAAAATGTTCAACATATAAACAACATTAAACATAAATTTAATGAAGGTACACAGTAAGGCTGTGTCGGACATATTAATCTCTTTTAGCCTCAAAGAATTTAATATATATAAAATAATGTTACAACATGTAATCTACTCTACAACAAACTTATAGCCACCTAAACTGAGATGTTAGTTTCTTGGAGCCTAACCGACCACTTTGTTCCTACGAACTAAGTGGCAAAATTCATAATAGCAGCATTTAAATATAAAGCGTTCTGCTTGGATACAAAATAAATCAATATATACCACCAATTCGGAAAATGTTATCATATCAAAAGATTAGACCGAAAAAGCAATTCAGTAGTTATAGATTCTTCATTCCATGGAACTTGGAATTTTATCGTCTCTTCTCTTTTATTCACTTTGTAAACAAAACAAATCCGAGAGGGAAACCGAACAAAACTAAGATAAAAGAAATGCTCATTAAAAATGAAACTTAACAAAAAAAAACTATGTGTGTCGCAAACTAATTGATTAGTTTGTGTCTAGATAAGAAATTAAAAAAGGAAAAAATGCGGAAATTTCTTATCACACTAAAGTGAGAGAAGCATATGCGCTCCTCCCTCCAGACATACTTGGACAAATTGGCAAAAGCAAAATATGAAATGTACACTCTACTGACTCATTTACTACTTACCTTGCAATTACTGGACGCATCGGACTTCATGCAATAGTTTACGGGTGCTAAGCCCGGCAAATAAAATTGATGACTGACACCGACAAGTTGCAACAACAACAACGTCACACACAAACCGTATTCCGCACGCATCACGGAATAATGTTTTTGCCAGCTTTTTTGCTTGCTGGCCAACATTTTAAGCTTTTCTTAGAACTAGAAGAAGTAACTCAGATAAACTGATTCTGCTGCCACAAAACTTCAGCTTCCTCCCTTACTCTTCGCAGAAAATTATGTTTGCCCACCTTCCTTCCGCACCTTGTGTCAAGTACCACTTGCTTGTGATGACTCGATGATGATGTTGATGTTGTCGTTGAGTGTGACGATGATGAATGGACACCGACAGCCGCCACCAGTCAATTTGTTGTATTTAAACAAATGTATTTCTTTTGTATTCTTCTTCTGCAATAATTTCGGGCCTACGTAGACAAAACATGTGTAATGTAAATGAAATGGTATTTGTAAAACAATCGGTTTATACTACAAGCTTTTATACACTTCTTTGCACGCTGCGCCGTAAAAAAATAAATTGCAAAAGGAATTTTTTCAATATTACTTGTGAAAGTAATTTATTAAATATATTAGCTTCAGAAATTCTCGTTTCCTTTATTCGTCGTCGTTAAAAAATTACCTTTTTTTCTAAACTTTTTTCTATATTTCAGAAACGTCACCGTGGCATAATGTTGCCAGATTGGATGTTTGTGGACTTTGGGGGGTGGCGACAAAATGCATGACTTTTGTTGAACATGCATGTTAAACTGTGAATGAGTGATTGTGTGAAAGGCAAACAGCTGATCAAAAGAATGTAGTTTACCAGTGATAAAACTTCGTTTACATTGTAAATAAAGTGGACAATACATTTCTTTTGATTTTTAGGAATAAAGCTAAGTTTTCACTGTAAATAAAAATAAATAAAAAAGTCAAAATCAAACATCTCCATTTACTTGTCAAAGTCAAAATTGGTACATCAAAATATAATTTTAGCAATGAAGGGATATGAAAAAAAGATGTAATGGGCTACCTCTTTGATTCTATCACATACAATTGATAAAGAAAAAACTGTACAATTTTAAATGTCAGCCGGAATCCCTGCAAAAACTTGCAAGCAATCAGCTTATTAATCAAAACAAAGCAATTTGTCCGAAAATAATAGAAATTAAGAACACAAAAATTAAATATGAATCGAAAAACAAAACAATTGTGCTTGCGTTTTTCAAAATAAATATGTTTTAAAATTTCTTGCCAAAAATATACATCATCGGAAGAAGAAGAAGAGTTGGAAGTGTTTGCAAGAAGAAATTTATCCAGCAAGAATTTGCATGCTCTCAGTAATAGAACTGTCAAAATTTCTCTCTCGAACGGTTCTCTTTTGCAGAACTTCTGTGTAAACAGACGACTTCCAGTAATAATTTGCAACAATTGTTACAAATTTTAGGGTAACCTGACACACTTAATTTTAATTTTTTTTTTACTTTGGAAATCGGAATTCTTTTGTTTTTCAATTCATTTTTAATATTTGTGTGTTTCATTTCTTTTTATGGCGGACAAATTGTTTCGTTTTGACAAATAAGCTGATTGCATGCAATTTTATGCTGGGATTCCGTCTGTTTTATTTTCCACAGTTTTCTTGCAAAATAGAATAAAACTAACTTCTCCCTCAGAAAAAAGTGCTGGTCAAAACCTGCCGGAAAAGCAACCTGACCTAATAAAATACAAAATTAATCCAGCTACGTGATTTAAACATTTTTAAAAAGTAAAGTTTAAGTGGATAGCCTTTTTTAAAAACACTGGAACTACACCATACACCAGCATAACTTTAGAGAGCACTTACTAGAGAAGTGTGGACTTCAAGGAAAAAATAATATTGTACACGGGACCTCAAGGAGTCCGCGAAGTTGTAGCTACTTTCAACCGAGAAATACCAACATTGGTAATTGACCAGCATTTAAATTGGACGTTGGCAAACCCTCATACCCCTTCTCATTAGAAATAAATTACGAGTTATTTTTACGAGATTTATAAACAATATAGTTATTTACATAATTAAAAATATTACAATTTATACAAACAAAATATTACAAAATCATAATTTTCTTACAAATAATACAAAAAATATATATTATATACAAGAGATCCCAACAATTTAAGAAAAATCTCTGCCAATTTCCAACTTTTTCATTTCACGTTCATAGGCATGAATGCGATACTTATCAGATGCCTCGATTGGCTTTGGTGTCGGCATGGGTTTCTCGAAAAACTGTGAATAAATCATACACGCAACAATGCCACCCAATATCGGTCCAGCCCAATAGACCCAATGCGATTCCCAACGATCTGTTGCAAAAGCCGTACCAAATGCTCGGGCTGGATTCATTCCAGTTCCTGTATAACGTATTGTACCCAAATGACCCAGCGTTACTGCCATACCAATACTGAAGGGTGCAATAAATCTATTGTCCGGTTTGCCAGGGTCACAAGCTCCAAAAACGGTTAGAACCAACAGTAATCCAAGTACGAATTCTATGCCCATACCTTGAAGCTCGGTGATGTTTTCGGCCAGAGAGGTGTGACCCAAGCCATTGTGATATGCTTCGTCCAATAGTTGCTTAAGCACGCACGTACCAGCTGCCGATCCCATACACTGAGCCACAATATACATAACCATACGGATGAGACTTATGCGACCAGCCAGGGCCATTGCAATCGTAACCGCCGGATTTATGTGTCCACCACTTAGATGACCCACAATTGTTATGGCCATAAAAATGCTAAAGCCAAACGAAAAAGCTTTAAATGTTCCATCCTCAGGTTGTGTACACGCGCCAATGGCAAAGAAATTCAAAATGAAGTTTCCCACAAATTCTGCCAATATTGATTTCCATAGGCGATGATCTTTCGATTGCAATTCTTCAAATCCAAAAGAATATTTTGGCGCTGGGGTAGACATATTGAAATTGTATGAACAAAATGGATGAGGAACAAACGACGACAAACACCAATAGTTGACACTGTGGGAATGAATTGCATCATTAAAGGAGAAACAAAAAATAACGGTACAATTATAGATAAATAATGTTGCCACATCCGGTGAATTTAAAATGCTATACTTTATGGGAAATATTGGCAGCACTTGGGAAATGTAGTTGCCACATACACAGTTCTAATGACATGTGAGTTATTCGTAACGTATCGTAATTACGAAGATTTACAATTTGAGATAGGTGGAATATTAGAACAAGTAGAGACATGGTATCATGAATACAAGGTACGGTCGACATAGCACAATCCTGAATACTGTCATAAAAATCCCCTCAGAAAATAATTATACAATTTGAGGAACACAATTTGTTTACAGTCTGTCCCCTAATTGCAAGAATGTGAAAGTTTTTGCAGCGATGACCCTTTAAAAAATCGAAAAAAAAAAATTAAAACTAGCAAATTCTGGAACAGAGTTTTTTAACTATTTTGGATCAGGGAGATTTGCAACATATCAGGATTTTTTATTTTGAAGTCATGTAATCATATGTTTACTATTTTTTCAAATTAATACATTTGACAACATCTCATTGTCAAAATCTATATTCATAAAACCATTGTAAACACATAAAATCAGAGATGGGAACTGTTTTTTATGGATTGAAATTTGACAAGACAAATTACAGAAAATGCAGAGCTGGGAATGCTAATTTGAAATGAGGTTACCTTTATTTCATTGTACCATGAGCAATAATTTATAAAAAATTTAATTAGTTATTTACAAATAAAGCACTCTTTTAATTATATATGTATTTTATTCCAATATCTTATTAAAAAAAGCGTCAAAGAAATGGAGTACCTGTTTATTGAGCCATGATTAGTACCCAGAAAAACTCCCATTATCAAATGAGTCACCTAATAAATTGTTGTTGTAGTACTTATTATTTGGCGATCAAAATAGACAACTAAAAAGTAAAGTGATTTTTGAAAAGATATTTTTAGGTTTCCCAAAAAAAACACCAAAAATTCAGAAAAATCTATATAATTTGGTATTTGAATGGTCCATCCGCCTGGTCCAATTTTGGCATATTCTTTCCAACTTTTTGGTCAATATCTCACGAATTAATGCTTCAATGTCGCTTGTCTGTGTAGATATAGCCCCACAAAAAATAATCTAAAGGTGAGTACATAAGCAGCTTGACATCATGCATAGGCATCTTAATGTCAAATTATAAGGGAAACAGACGGCAGGATTCACTTTATGATATATCACAATATAAACCATGCGAAGACTTCAAGCTGCTTATGTATCCACACCTTAAAAGTATTAAACCGCACGATTTCGGCGACCAATTGACCGGTCCCAAACTTAAAAAAAAATGCTCGCCGAACTCGCCTCTTGGTATCGTCTTGTTGAATTCACACTACTATCTGTAATTTTGCCATGGTATATTCCTTTCCATTTTTATACCCTACACCACACAGTGGTAAAGGTATTATGTCTTTGTCCATTAGTTTGTAACAGTTAGAAGGAAGCGAGATAGACCCATAGTTACTTTTGAGGATATTCATAGAATCACTTTTTGAGTCGATTTATGCATGTCAGTCCGTCTGTCTTGTGAACAAAATGGAGGTCGCATTTTTTATCAGATTGAGATGCAATTTTGCAAACAATATTTGTTTGGCCCAAGGACGAATCTAATTGAAATTGGTGACAATCAACAGATTTCGGTTTAACTGTGCACCAAATGGCCAATATCAGTCCAAATAATCTGACTTTTGGCAGATTCGACCGAATTCAGTCTAGAAGCAAGTACATCAAATCTAGTGAAAATCGATTCAGAATTGGATATGCCTCGCATAAATTAGTTCCCTCTGAAACCAAATTGTCAAGCATGTCTTAGGAACGAATTCGGTACGAAAGTGATTTTAATTTCGTATTTAGCTTCTTCAGAAATCGTAAAACGCAAATTTGTCGGGTTTGAAACCACTTTTGTTTTTGCAAATGAAATTGTATTTTTATGGAATCTTATGACTTAAATACACTCTCATAACACTTTTAAGTAATAACAATTTTGTCTTAATGACAAATACACAATTAAATTTACATCATTTATTATTTATTATATTTTTATACCCTCAGCCATATGGCTACAGAGGGTATATATCATTTGATACGGTTAAACGTGCCTAGACGAAATAACGGTTTTAGACCCTAGGTCTCTTTGGACCAAATCCGTTTCAGGACATTTGGAGTCGATCTAGCGATGTCCGTCCGTCTGTCTGTCTGGCTGGCTGGTGCGCACGATAACTCTCGAAGGGAGTACCCGATTTGGTCCAAACTTTGTACATCGTAATATTTTTGTCAAACTTAGATCGAGTTCGGAGATGGGCAATATCGGTCCACTCCTTCTGGTACCTCCCCCACAAAAGGTCGAAATTTTCAAAAAATATATTTTCTGCTCCAACTTTGCAAATCCTAATATTTTTGTCAGTGCTAGGTCAAATGCGAAAATGGACAATATTGGTCCACTCTATCAAGTACCTCCCCCACAAAGGGTCAAAATTTTGAATAATAACAACTCTTATAAAATGTGAAGTAAGGGTCCGATTGTCTTCAAATTTCACACATCCCAATAATTTTATTAGCGTAATATCTGGTGTGAAGATGGAATACATCGGTCCACTCCTTCTGGTACCTCCCCCACAAAAGGTCGAAATTTTCAAAAAAAAATATATATTTTCTGCACAGAAAGAGAAAGGATGATCCGATTTTGCCCCATCTTTGGAAATCCTAATATTTGTAACAGCGCAAGGTCAGGTGCAAATATGGACAATATCGGATCACTCCATCAAGTACATCCCCCACAAAAGACCGAAATTTGCAAAAAATTTATTTTCTGCACAGAAAGAGAAAGGATGATCCGATTTTGCTTGAACTTTGCGAATCCTAATATTTGCGTAAGTGCTAGGTCAGGTGCGAAAATGGACTATATCGGTCCACTCCATCAAGTACCTCCACCACAAAGGGTCAAAATTTTGAATAATTATAACTCATATAAAATATGATGTAAGGAACCAAAATTTCACACACCCCAATATTTCTATAAACCTAAGATCTGGTGTTAAAATGGAATATATCGGTCCACTCCTTCTGGTACCTCCCCCACAAAGTGTCGACATTTTGAATACCCATGTGGCTCATAAAACGCCAAATTAACATCCGATTCCGTTTAGACTTGGCACATCTGAATATTTCTATCAACACAAGATCTGTTATAAAGATGGTATAGATCGAACCATTTCTTCTGGTACCTCCCCCATACATAGGGTTCAAGATTTTGAAAAAAAAAAAAACGCTCAAATAAAGAGAAATAAGCATCTCTGCAAATTTCAAACATACAAAATTTTTGCTAACACAGAATTTGTATATATCTTCGAAGCCCTTCTGGCACCTCACCCACATAGTGTCACAATTTTCAATAATTTTATCTGTTTTTATGATTTGGCATAAAATACAATGTTTCAAATCATGTGTTTTGTTTTGATTCCTTCCTGATTTCATTCCCCTAATGTTACCATATTGAATATATAATGTTGCCATATTTACGCTGAAATCGTAGTTCACCAAATCGTACGAAATCTATAGAAGATAAAACAAAAACGAACGATTTAGAATTACGAAATTCAAACAATTTCGATATGATTTTGTGACATGCCTGTATAACTGTTCTATAGCTATAGGTTGATAGGTGGTATGATCCATGGTACAATGAATTCAAGGTAGGGCAGAACTACCATATGATTTCAATTTTTTTATTTTTCTGGCTTAATATGTCAACTTCATTTGCTTATGTGCGTGTCTTCTTTTCAATAATAAAAAATTGTTCAGAAAATATTCAAATTCGTGTGTTTTCAAAATGCTTATTGCAACGAATGCATCGACAAAATCTAGAGTTTTTGTAGCGAAATAATCCTTTAGAGATATATAGAACCTGGTTTTGAAAAGAAATTTTGATCTTTCTTTCAGTTTTCGCGGTTTTATTTATTATTTAAAATCAATGCAACAAGTTGTTTGCTTTTTTATTGTTTTGATGCTAATTCTGACATTACAAGCCAAACAGGTAGACCTCTATACTTGCAATTTTTTTAAAGTTGGTCTACCTTCTCTTCATTGTACCATGGTATGATCTACTTCAAATAAATTATTTTGTTACAAGAGCTCTACTAAATATGCCTAGTGGTGTAAGGGTATCATATATTCGGCCCCACCCTATTTTGACTTTTCCTTACTGGTTGTGTAGGATTATCGCTGGTTGCGCATTAGAAGATTTCAGGTCATTGACCCTTTGCTTCCCCAGTAATCTGAATCTCTTGTTGAAAATCATGAAAATGGTAGAGCACAGCAGTGACCTGTAATAACACCCATGACAATATCTCCACCCATTTTACTCAACTTTCCCAGAGTCCCCCCAAAATAAAACACATTTCCCAGTTTTTTGTTTGCGTCGAAAGAAAAAAATGATTCTTTATTTTGTTTCACACACATAAAATTGTTTTTAACGTACAAACTATCAGTCATACAAATTACAATAAATATGTTAATATTTCTTTTGAATGATCTTGTTTTATTTCAAATTATATTAAAAAAAGAAAATCAATTAATTGTATTTCATTGAAAAAGCTATTAAAATTGGTAAAATAAAAAATTCCTTGAGTTTTGGATTTTAAAACAAATGTTATTTTTCATAAAGTATTAGGGAGAGACTGATTGGATTGAGGTTATGTGGAAAAAGTAGTTTTTTTTAAACTAAGAATTTTTTTAATATACAAAATTAAGTTGGATGATGGGACAGAGGCACACAATAAACTCATACACACAGTCTTACACATACAAACAATCTTTTTTATGTAGTTTTGTACGCAAATATGATAAGGTATTGAGGATAACAAACGCACGCGTCAATCACACTCACTCAATCATTCAAATTCACACTACATACACAAATATCACAACAAAATCAATGATAAAATAAAAAAACGACGACGACTCGCCCTATATATTATTCTTAACATTCGAATATATGTTTCTTTGTCCTTGTTGCTTTTGTCTTTTCCCTATTTTCTATAAAATTTATTTTTGAAATGATAATTGTCATTTAAATTTTATGTAAAATTATGCGATGTTATAGGTTGGAAAAAATACTGGTAATGTTTCTTTTTCCCGATGAAACAATTTTGTATTGAAATACCTACATTTGAGGGTACTTCAAAATCTATTTTATTTTTTTGAAAAAAAAAAAAAAAAAAAAAACATTAAATTTGTCATCTGTTAATACAGATCAAATGAAATGGCTTTTGCTCTGATCCAGAACTGCAAGAATGTAACAAATGTTACTACGATATCTTATTTATTCTTTATGATATCGAAACGATACTTAAAACTGGTAGATTCTTTAAGGTTCTGGAACAGAGCACTCGCTTAGATAGAAGACAATAAAAACACTTTTTGCTATTATTAATGATCATATAAATGTCCTTCTTTATAAAGACAATTCACTCCTTCAGATCATAAAATGTAGATATAAAACATTTCAAATGACCTTCCATAGACATAGAACCATTCAAAGGTATTTCAATAAATACCAGTCACCCCTATTAAAGAATAAATAGGAGTTTTCACAAAATATTTTTTTTTTATATTTCCTCGAATATCGTTGTTACGGAGGGCATATTATGGATGTGGGGGACAAATATAACAAATCGTATGAATAATATAAATGGGAACTATAGTTGATTTTGACACACTTGTTTCTAGACTCAATTTAGTCGTAAGCGCCAAATTCCATACAATTCCATACGTTTGTTGCACAATAAAAAGCAAATCGGACGAGGTTTGGCAAAGGTATTTCTGAGTTTATTCTGAGTATTTCTGAGTTTTTTTATATATATTTCCTCGAATGTCTTTGTTACAGAGTGCATACTTCGGCTGTGGAGGACAAAAATAACAAATCGGATGAACAATTTATATGGGAGCTATAGCTAAATCTGAACCGATTTTCACCAATTTTTACATACTTGTTTCTAGGCTCAATTTGGTCGTAAGTGCCAAATCCCATACAATTTTGACTGATATTACACGTTTGGTGCACAATAAAAGGAAATCGGACGAAGATATATATGGGAGATATATCTAAATTTCGTCTGATTATCTCCAATTTAAATAGGGTTCGTCCTTGGGTCATACAAATGATTTGTGCAAAATTTCATCTAGATCGGACAATAAATGCAACCTGTACTTTATTTACTAAAATACATGGGCTGACGGACAAACAGACGGATGGACATTCATAAATCGACTCAGAATGTGATCATATGCAGATCATCAAAAGGAACTATGGGGGTCTATCTCGATTAATTTTGCCTGTTACAAATAAATGCACAAAGACAAATACCCTGACCACCTTGTGGTGTAGGGTATAAAAATCCCATGCAATTAAAAAAAAAATTCCCATTTCGTTTCATAATACCGGAATTCACATTCGGACATTACTATTTCTGGGAAAAAAATTCATAATAACAACAACAACGGGAAATGGGAACAAAATGTATGGGAAATTATTTTCATAATAGGGGTGAGTATGGTGTTCTTCTATTGATGGAAGATCAAGCGATTAGATTTCTTACGATAGAATACCATCTAATAAGGTCTTTTTCTAGATATATAGAACTATTTTGAATGACTTTCTTTTAAGTAGTATTTCTAACGTATGGTTATGAAGAGGATAATAATGGAAGTGTCCTTCCTCTAGTCTTCTACTATGGTCTTTTTAATAATTAGTTTTATAATCTGGTTCCCAAATCACATTACAAGTATTTTTTCCAACTTCTCAGTATCGAATTGTTATTCTCTGTTTAGTAAAAAAATGTGTTTGCTACTATTGCTTTTTTGTTCCACTTGTTTTTACTTTCAAAAAACTGTCCTTAAAATGATTATATTTTCTATTTTGCTTATTTTTGAAAAGTTTCAGTCAATGGTAAAAGTCACGTGTTTCTATTGTTATTAAGCACTTTTGTTAATGTTTTGTTGGTTGTTTGGTCCGTTCAAATGTGGTTTCTGAGTAGAAGACTTTTTTTTTTCTTGTTTTGAATGTTCAATTGTTGTTACATGTCATAAGTTGTTATTTGTTTTCGAATGTTATTTTGAGTTCTATTACAAATGTTAATATCATTCATACAATCACACATACTCATGGTAATATTACTCTAAGGATTCACATTACATACATAATTATTTTCTATAGATTACACACACAATCATACGAATTAAACAAATTCATTATTACATTATCATAATTATCATCATCAACGTTATTATACTAATCATCATTATCATCATCACTATCATATTTTTTTTTAGTTATATCAAATACAAAATACTATCATTTACATTGCTTTATGAACAATACACAAAATGGAATGATGAGCACCCGCCGCACACACATAAAATCGTTAATCATAAATTACTCTACGACATCGAGAATGGCCAAGGATCAAAGATGGATATTTGGGGGTGGTGGGTGATACCATTCTTTAGAAGGAAAAAATAAATAAATTAATACGATCTCTCATAAGTTTTTTTTTTTTTTTTGGTTATGTTTCCATCTTCAGTGTATGTGGGGGGCTGTGGCTTGAAGAAGATTAAGGTACATGGAAATTTATACCCATTATCATCAAGTGGTTTTTTTTTTGTTTTGTTTATTTTGGTATTCTGTTATGTTATCAATGTAAATGAAACCAATCATCACCATTATCATCCTCATCATCATCATCATTCATTAAAACGTTTGGTTTGTGTCCACCATTCACGCTCTTAAGAATTATCTTTCACAACATCATTGTCATATATCATATCACCAACATCATCACCACCATTAATTATCATTTATTTAGAACCACCAGTCACACATTTTAGAAAATTTTTGCATTTTTTTTCTAAATTAACACCTGGAAAAGTAAATAGATTTCGTTATAAAAAGTTGTCTTTTTAAGGCATTATTAAATAATTGTTAATAAATTAATTAGTAACTCTTAGAAAACAATTATACGCCATAAAGTTTAGGTATTGCTCATGGTCGCCCCCTATACATATTTCGAATTTTTAATTTTTATGGATCAAGAGTTCAAATACAATTTTGGAGAATAAATTTTATGTAGAGCTATCTGTCCGACCGGCTATCTCGAAAAGAAGAACCTGACCCTTTCTATCTATTGGTAGGCCTGCTCTAAGAATCGTGGTGGGCATATATTGATTGGACAATGAAATATCAAATATTTGATCTCAAGATTAGATAACAGTGGTCTTGACTACCGTAGCTAAGACTCGCGAGGCTTTACTCCTTCCCAGCATTAGGCGAAGCTATCCACTTGCCAACCATCAGCACGGATTCCGTCCACAACATAGTACCACATTACCACACATATTTGTAGAGGATTGAACCAGAACAAACCGTTTGAAAAAAACAGTGTTGGTAGCCCTTGACTTATCAAGGTGATACGGTCCATTATGCCATACTGTTTGAGGACGTGTAGAAGACTACCCTCCGCCCAAGTTTGAAACGTTGGATAATCAACTATATCTGTGGACGCCCGTCGTACGGGAATTCCGGAACAAGAAGTCGAGGGGAATTTAATACCGACCCTTCTGTTTCCCGATTTATATCTTTTCTATCACCACTAATACTTCTAAGATGAACATAATGGGCCAATGGTATACGATTGAAGCAGTTGCCAACTCCAGAGTATTTGCTCATCCTCAGATCATCAAGCAGGATCTCCCTTAACGAAAAACTTCCTTTGCTATGCGAATTACCCTCAGAAAAAATAACGATAGTTCCTAAAGAGTCACTAAATAAATTATTAACAATTAATACAAACTAAAAATGTAAATAAAATAAAAAATATATACATTTTGTACAAAAACTTACATTCACGCTCTCTACTGCTTGGGTGGTCGGTCAAAAAATCTCCTCGGATCGATATACGAGTGTTATGTAGCAGCAGGTATTTGGTTTTTTTTTTCTTTCGACGATTTCGCTTAAGATTGTTTTGTTTTTTTTTCTGTTAGATATAGAGCTTAACTAATAGAACTGTAAATAGAAATTTGTTGAGACATCCATACCAAAGTGTACATCATCATCATAAATTATCACACACATCAGATTCAATCTCACACCAAAATTAAGAGTATGAAAAATAATAAAAGAAGAAAATTCTTTCACACACACGCACACATACATACAAACACACAAACGCACACACTCTCACTCACTACTTAAGATACAATGAGCTCGCATCACTTTTTTAATCCGAAAGATTTTGAGGGTCCTGAGAAGATCTCAAAATTAAAAATCTAATACATGACAGAAAAAATGTAGTCCACAAATTCCAAAATAGCAAAGAATGTACGTTTCATGGTATAACTTTTTTTTTAATTTTGTTTGATTTAAAAATTAAATGAAAGAGGATCGTCCTCATATGGCCTAAGACAATTTCTTTTTTTTTAAATTTGTTCTCGTATAAAAAATTGGGCTCTAAATGGATAAAGGAAGACTGAAATGCTGTTTCAATCCAAAATAAAATACCGCTGTTTGGTTTATTATAAAAAAAAATTATATATTAATTTCATTCAAAAACATTAATGGCCCAGCCCTGTAGGATTTAAAATTTACAGGAAATAAAATCCTTTGTTTCCTTTTCAAATTAATCTTTAATAAAAGGAGATTTTGGATTAAAAAAGTGATGTAGTGTAAATAAAATACATTTGTTATGATGTATTTCTTCATATGTTCTTTTGTTGTTGTTGTTATGTTGTATTTATTCATTATGTGTAAAAGATCTTAAACGGTCATTTATTTAGCAAATTTTTAATACTTTAATTACAATTTAGTTTCTGTATTTTTTTTAAGTAAAATAGTTTTTCTTTGTTATGTATGTCTTTATATTATTCAAAAAATGTCTTCCAATAATTCGTCGTTTCAAGTCGCGTGAGTTGTTCGTACATATGTTGATGTTTGTCACTTGTTGTGTGTGTATAGTAAGTCTGTACAATGTATAGAATGTTTAAATTTTAAGTCTTTTTTACAAGAAAACAAAAAGGAAATGTAGATTAAATCCAATTTTGATAAAAAACGATTTTAATTAATTTTCTTTTATCATCACGTGGTTATGAGGTCCACAAAATTTCGAGGCGCCATTGAAATCAAACCCTTTTTTGTCCTTCATTGCAAAACTCCACATTAAAGAAAATGAAATATAATTCTAACACGGAATTTAATGGAGAAAACTTTTTTTGTCATTCATGAAATATCGTTTTTCATTTTCATAAGAACGACAGATGGCGTAAGTAAAGGGAAATTGCCTTGACATTTTTCATTGTCTATTGGGCCCTGTCAAAGACCACAATAACCCATTTGCAAGTATTAAATGGATCATAAATGAAATAATATTTATGATATCAAAGAAGAGGATACAAATCATCGAGGAATTGTTATTCAGAATATCTGAAATAATATCCAAGTCGACATTCAAATATCAATTTTTATTTTCTAGAGTTAGAAGGGAAGATGTTTTGAACCTTAAAGGAAAAAAATTATATTAAAAACCAGTTTAAAAGTACCACTCGGTTTTGCCGACAGATTGATTTCCTCAGCCTTTATCCATTTATTCAAATATATTTTGACATTTTTTATTATTATTCCAAATGTTGACCCTCTATAGGAGAGCTACCGATGGAGTAGAACAATATTGTCCATTTCGCTTATGACCTAACTCTGATATAATAATTAGAGGTGACAGCTTTGGATTATGAGTACCTGATCTTGTGTTGGTAGAAATATTGGGATGTTCGAAATTTGAAGACAATAGGACTCCTATTTCACATTTTGTAAGTTATTAATATGCAAAATTTTGACCCGTTGTGGAAGAGGTATTAGAAGGAGTGGAGTCGCATCATATATTGTAATGTTTAAAATTTTGGGATTTGCGAAATTTAAAGAAAATCTGATACATATTTCGCATTTTATAAGCATTGTAGATATTCCAAATGTTGACCCTTTGTGGGAAGGTATTCAAAGGAGTGGTCCGATATATCCCATCTTCACATTACATCTTGTTTTGGTAGAAATGTTGAGATGGATTGAAAATAATCGAATACTTATTTCGCATTTGTTGTTCAAAAGTTTGACCCCTTGTGTGGGAGGTACCAGAAGGAGCGGTCCCCTATACACCAAATGTCCTGAAACGGTTTTGTTCCAAAGAGACCTAGGTTCGAAAACTGTTATTTCGACTAGGCACGTATCAAATGATATATACCCTCCTCTCTATCCATATGACTGAGGGTATAAAAACAATTTTAAGAAATTTCATTGAAAATCCCCATGTGAGAGTTTTGTTATTGTTTGGGAAAAAGGAAATTCCTCTAGATTTGAAGAAGGGTGGTTATCATAAATAATATAAGGCCTCATATTCTGCATCTTGATATGATCCTCCTCCAGGACAATTGTAATAGGGTACCAAAGATTCTTAATTCTATTCAATCTCTATTCAAATTTTAGATATTGGAGTTACAGAAAACGTAGCAACTTGAATTAAAATTTTGGCTAAAAATTAAATAGTCCCATTCTTAGATGTTTTAATTACAAAGGGTTTGCGTTGAAAACAAGTAATAATTAGGATTAGGAGTCGCTTTAATGAATGACAACGAGGATATATTTCCCCCCAATTAATTCCTCTGCAATAGAGGTATCTGAAAAAAATTAACCATTTCTCAAATATCTTTCTTAGTGATTTTATATCCTAATGTGTGGCTTGGCTTGTTTTCAAGTTTCTGTGTTCTTTTTTTGCTGTTCTTGTTTAATTTTTTTATATTTATAATTAATCTAAAATTCTAAATTTGTACGAGGCATTAAGTCGTCAGTTGTTGTTTGTTTTTGTTGTTTTCATTAAGTCCTTATTTTTCAACGTTGTTTCTCGTTAGTTCATTGTATAAAAGTATGTATAAAGTCTAATAGTACGCGTACGTAGTCTCTAGTATGTATGTCTAGTAGTAATGTGTTGGTTTGGTTTAGTTTTGTTTTAAGGTGTTTCTTGTTTTTTTTTTTTTTTTTTTTTTTTTTAAATAATAAAAAAATATATTTTATATGTGTAAAATAAAAACAAAAAACAATTGTATGTTATGTTGTGTTTCATCTCATCATCTTTACAGAAAAAAACATTTGTTTTCTTTTTTTTAATATAAAAATTCTTATTCATTATTTTGTTTTTGTTTCAATTTCATTAATTTTTGGCGAATCTCAAATCCGTTTAAAATCCTTTATTGTATTTGTTTTTTGAGCTAGTTTAATGTTTCTTGTTGTTGGTTTTGTATTCTTAGAATCTAAGTGTTGTTGTTGTTGTTTTTTTTTATTCTCATTTAACTTAACTTACAATTAATATCACACAAGCACGCACGCGCGCAATAATAAGTCTTCAATCATAAAGTATTTGAAATCAATTGTTTGACACAAACAAACAAAATTGTAATAGTTTAAACACAAAATTTATTTGCACACATTCACACTTGAGAAAAAATAATTAAATATGAATTGCATAATCAGACATTATTATATATGTCTGTAGATTAAGGCGGACGGACAACGGACAGGACAAAAAATATAATATTATTTTTTGCAATTTTATTTGCAGTCACACAAAATTAAATGCGGATTCGGCTATTCATACATATAGAGGGGGAGCAAAAAAGATTTCAAATTCAACATTCACACTTTAGATAGACAGGGCTTGAACGATACCCAAAGTAGTCGCAGAGCCAAGTTATTTCAAACTTCAAAACAAAATATAGGATGTCGTATACAGATGGGGTAAAACTCCTTAAGAAGAAGCCAATAGATAGCACTATATAAAAATGTTAACCTTTTTTTTTTTTGAAAATTTGGTATAAAATGAATTCAGAGATTTTCTTGAAGAAGATTCAACCGTTTGATAATTCAAAATGGAAATTTAGAGTCAATGAAATTAAAAATGTAACTAAATATTTGAAGTTGACCAACCGAATATATACTTTTCCATTTATTTGTTTAATTTATTTTCCATTTATTTGTTTAAAATTTAATATAAAATCACCTCTTTAGATTTGCTGCATGAAGCTTTCAAATACCTTTGTGTATCACTACAATAATTCTGATAATGTTGAGAGGAGAGTGGAACTGAAATTTAATTTATCCATATACACATACAAATTTAAGATGGAGAAAGGCCTTCGATACAGATCTCAAATTGGTTGTTATTCTGAAATTTCAATCCTTTGAATGCATAAAATGACTATTTAGAAACTATTCGATTGAAAAATGTGACTCACAACAATAAACAAGCATTTAAGATGGTAAAAGAAACGAGAGGTGAAGTCAACTTACCCTTAATTCTCGACACTGAATCATACCCAGTCACTTTGAAATAGTTATAGAAAGAAGACCAGTCCTGAATACCACACACTTTTTTCTATTAGACAAGAGAGATTGAGTCTTCTGGAAGCTTTGAGTCTTACTTGCAAGCTTTGTTATCAATAAGGTAGCAGTAGTAGATTCTCAACCCTGAATTACTCCAAGACAAATTGAAAATCGTTATGGAATAAAGACCAGCCTTTGAATACCACACCGTGTTTTTTTTTTTTTTTTTTTTTTTTTTTTTTTTTTGTTCTACTAGACAAGAGAGATTGAGTCTTCTGGAAGCTTTGAGTTTTACTTTGCAGGCTCCAAGACAAATTGAAAAGAATGCCACATACTGCGGTTCTTTCATATTAGAGACAAATGGCAAACTCGCGAGGATATAGACACAACATATAAATAAAAATTTTCGGGAAGGGTATAAAGGGACGCGATCGGTTCGGGGGGTGATTGTTTAAACAAAGAATCTGCTGGTATTCGCCGTGTTTCTAAATCAAATTAATGTCCTTCCAATATTTTTTCTCTATATATTTCGGTTGATGAGCACAAAAGGTCTCCAGATCGAGCAGAATCTTAGATTTGTTATATACTGCTGCTGCTACACGAACCTCCACCTTCGCAACCAACTATATATCAATTAAATTTCTTTTCAGTATTTCTTATCCACAGTGTATTAAAAGGCCTCCGGATTGACCAAATAATTTTCTTACGCCGGTCCCCTTTTGTGGTGGCAACTGAATTGCAACCGATTACGGTTGTTTATTTGAAATATTTTTTGGCAACTTCGGAATTTGAAAACATAAAGGCGTTGGGTATCTTTGTAAGCCATGTCTATGGATTTCACATTCACACCATATTAAATATATTCACATTCACACAATATATATATCTAGATCAAACACATAATCAATATGCACTCGCTTTAATGTTAAAGAAAAAATAATTATCACAATCATACTTCGCTTATAAATAATAAATTCAAATATACTCGCACAGGCAAAACATTTGCACTCGCACACTAGAGAATACTAGATTCATACTTACACACATGCACAGCATATAATTTCATACATAATTGTATTTTTTTTTTTTTCATAAATTCACATCATGCAGCAGTTCACTTTTATTTCACTCAAAATTCCATTCACACAATGTGAAAAATTATGTGTTCTTATATACTATCGGTTTGTTTTTTTTATATTTTGAAAATTGTTTTTTTTTTCTTCTTATACTTTTTTTGTTGAATAATTTTTCCTAAAGATTTTAAGCTATATATCAATTACTTGTGTATTTTCGAATATACTAGAAAATTTGTTGAAAGAATAGTTTCAAAAAAAAATCATAAATTAGATACACGGTAACAAAGGTGGACTCAAAGAGCTTCTGTTTACACAAACAAAAAACATATTGGTATATTTTTTTTAATTTAAGTTATATATAAGTTGTTTGAAATGAAGGTTTCCACTAGACTTTCAAGGTTCTAGCAAAAAAATAAAAAACAGTAAAGAAAGTCTTAAAGTCGGGTGGAGCCGACTTTATGATACTATCTATTTATGATATGATACGGCTGTGCAGGACAAATTCAGCAAATCGAATGGACAATATATATGGGAGCTATAGCTATATCTGAACCGATTTTCACCAAATTTGACATACTTGTTTCTAGACTCAATTTCGTCGTAAATGCCAAATTTCATACCATTGGGAATAATATTACACGTTTGGTGCACAATAAAAGGCAAATCGTACGAAGATATATATGGGAGCTATATCCAAATCTGAACCGACCTAGATAAAATTTAGCAAAGGTATTTCTGAGTTGTATTTGATATATTTCCCCAAATATCGTTATTACAGAGTGCATACTTCGGCAGTGGAGGACAAAAAGAACAAATCGGATGAACAATATATATGGGAGCTACAGCTATATCTGAACCGATCAAATTTGGCATACTTATTTTTAGGCCTGATTTAGTTGTATGTGCAAAATTGTATACTATTCAGGCTGATGTTACACGTTTGGTGCACAATAAAAAGCAAATCGGGCGAAGATATATATGGGACCTATATCTGAATTTTGACCGATTATCTCCAATTTAAATAGGGTTCGTCCTTGGGTTAAACAAAAGACTTGTGCAAAATTTCATCTGAATCGTGCATTAATGAGACCTGTACTTTCTTTGTTTATAAAAATACATGGACAGACGGACGGACATGCATAAATTGACTCAGAATGTGATTCTATGCAGATCATCAAAAGGAACTATGGGTCTATTATCTCGTTTCCTTTTGCCTGTTACAAACAAATGCACAAAGACATAATACCCTGACCACCTTGTGGTGTAGGGTATAAAAACAGAAGATCGATAATTCAAATAGTAATTACAAAATCTCCTTATATAGAGTGAGTATTCCAAATCATATAAAAATAACAATTATTTATTGATTCAATTTCAAGCCAAAAATTACACAAAGAACGAAATTATTCGTTATTTTGTGTTTGCGTAAATAGAAGCTTGACCGGTCCATTGTTGTGTATCGTTTCATTATTTTTTTCTTTTCAATTATTTTTGAATATTCATTTTTTTTTTTTTCAAAAATAACCAAAAAATATTTTAAAAAGGAAAAAACGTAAATTAAACACAAATCTTCTTTTGTTATAAGGGAGTAATTAGTTTTGCAAGTTTTCGAATTTTTTAAACGGTTTTGAAAAAAGAAAGAGAAATGTGATTATTTTCATATGAAAACTAACTGTATTTTATAAAAATATATGAACTAAATATTTAGTGTTGTGTGGGAAATAAGCGAAGGGAAAATATCTAGTTTTCTTTAATAATTAAATGAACTAAAAACAAATGAATGTTATAAATTAATAATAGGTGTTTTTTTGTATACAGTGTTATTTTACGATTTGCATGTAGTAAGGTGGTTTTTTATGCATTTAATTATATAAACCAATTTTTGTTGGTATTTATTAATATTGTTAGAGAAAATGCTCGACAGATATAGTTTATGGAAAAAAGAAAAAAATCAACGAAAAGATATACCTAAATACATTACAGAAGTACATTCATTTTTTGTAAGATGATCTTTGTTTTTTCGGAAATTTTAAATAAATAGTTGTAGAAAAAATCATAAGCTTCGAAATGAAAATGTTGGTGACTTAGTCAAATAGGATAGAAGAAAATTCTCAATAAATAGCAAAAAAAAAAAAACTTAAAAAAATTACAAAAAAAAAAAATTATAATCTTTTCGATTTTCTCTTAGAATGGAAATTTCATATAAAAAATAATTTTAAATACATATACATACACAAAAGAAAACAATGCACCTTTGGATGAGTTTTGTTTTTATCGTTCGTAGTGATTATTCTCGGCACACCAAAATAATTTAAACAAAGCCATTTATTTACTGTTTGGTTTTTTTGTTTCGTTGATTTACCTTAATTGCGAAAAAATAATTTATATTAATGTGTAGAAGGGCGGGAACAGGAATTTGCTGTAAAGAAATAGAAATAGGTTTCTATTTATTTCATTTCAAACTTAAAAATTAAAAAGGAAGCTAAGTTCGACCGGGCCGAAATTTTACTACCCTCCACAATTTGAAAATTAAAAAAAAATTAAAACAATTTCAAAAAAATCAGAAAACGAACTTTAAATACAAAATTTGTAACAATTCCGTTGAATAATGTTGACGAAATCATCAAGATATCGCTCATGCGTGGACCTGCACACACAATTTTCTGTCTTAGGCCGTAGTAGAATCAGACCCTCTGACCTCTAGATGAGAAAACAGTGCTTCTGACTGCTACAGACTATGTGAAGATGAAGAAAAGGTAGAGTAGAAGAGGTAGAGATGGCCTTCTATACAGGTGTCGCATGTTATCCAACAAGAGACTTAGGCTATTTGCCAGTTGGGAGACAGAAACTCCAACGTTTTTCTAGACATAGATCCCATCATCATCTACAAGTTCGCATAAAAGCATTTTCTGGGTAGGCAGACCACCTTGCTAACGAACTTTAAATACAAAATTTGTAACAATTCCGTTGAATAATGTTGCCGAAATCAGCAAGATATCGCTCATGCGTTGACCTTCACACCATTTTCTGTCTTAGACCGTAGTAGAATCAGACCCTCTGACCTCAAGATGGGAAAACAGTGCTTCTGACTGCTACAGACTATGTGAAGATGAAGAAAAGGTAGAGTAGAAGAGGTAGAGACGGCCTTCTATGCAGGTGTCGCATGTTATCCAACAAGAGACTTAGGCTATTTGGCAGGTGGGAGACAGAAACTCCAACGTTTTTCTAGACATAGATCCCATCATCATCTACAAGTTCGCATAAAAGCATTATCTGGATAGGCAGACTTACACTTCCCTCCCTTTTCCCGCTTCTACATATCTCCTGTCCCAAACAACCAAAGGATCTCCAAATAAAGTAACTCCCGTGTTGATGCGCATCCTTAAACCAAACCAAAACATGGGTAATAGAAACTCTCAAATTCTTCAAAATTCCCTGTCCAAATAAATGGTATTAATGATTTCGCTCCTCGGGAATAGTTACCAATTATATTCCCAATTTTTTTTTTAAATAACACTATCTCTTTACTTATCTACTTCCTTTTTCCCTTCTCTCTAAACTAGGATGATCACAATGGACCAGCAGATCTCCGAGTGGAGCGGTTGCTTCAGCAACTGCACACCCTCTAACCTAGCCTAACTTTCCCAAGACTGGAACACCGAGTCATTTCCAAATCTGCTTAGCTTTTAGAAAGATTGCTCGATTTTCAGATCAGGGACTTTCTATAGACTTCTATCGGTGCTGCACAGTGGTAGTGGGTTATGTAAAAAAAACATGAGTAATGTTAATTCAATTATGTAAAGTTTACTTATAATTCTCTTGCAGAACGGTTGAAAAAATGGATTAATAAACTTCCAGTAGCAGGATTACTAACTCGTATATAGGAGAGAGATCCACCATTTGAGGCACAACGACAATGCCTTGCTTTCTGGACTTAGTAACAAAAGTAAAATAAAAATTGTAAGAGAAAACAAACACAAAAATTGTAACATTGATGAAAATGTAGATTCAGTTCAGGAAGATCTTCGGAAAATGCTCATGCGATTCCAACATTTCTTGAAGTGGCATCGTTTTTTTAAATTTATCTTAATTCTCTCTAACGTTCTCTATCTAATCTAAATATCTACACATGAAGTAGAAATATACGTTCTTGAACCTGTGCTGTTCTGTAATTTCTGTGATCAATAATATAGGGATTTATAATTCAAATATACAGTAAATCAGTTAAATCAAATGCTAAACTTACCATTTTCTTTTTAAAAAATTACGATTATTTTTTTGGAAATTCTTAAAGTATCTCCTTAAAATATGAACTTCACTTCAATTTACTGGGCTATTGGCTGTTGATCGCGTAATTTCTTGATTTCTTTCAGGGCCCAGTTACACAGAGACTTGGTGCGACTGGATTTTGATCGTTTGCCTTCGGATAAGAATTGTGTAATGGTGGTATTATCGACCAAAGGCAATAGGCGGGGACCAAATGCGCTGCACAAATCGCCAATGAAACCTGCGGCGCTGGCAATCATAGAATCCGGATTGTCGCCTTCGTCCGCAATGCGCTTGATAAACATAAGTATGTGTCCGAGATGTGGTTCCAAATGGAAGACATCTGGATGTGGTGTTTTTTCAACGCCCTTCAGACCTTGAATAATACCGGTATAAGCTTCCAAGACACTTTCACGCAATTCATTCAAATATTCAACCATATCGTAGCTGTTGGGATCGACCTACAAAAAGAAAGTCATTTTAATGAAGATCAAAAAAAAAATCAAATCAATTTTGTTGCAAGTGAAAAAATATTTCTATCTAATGTTTCATAAATTTTTCTGTGTCACTCTGCCGAAAACCAGAGTATATCAACTAGTGCTAGCATAAAAGCCAATGTCTTACCTCAAGTTGTGATGCAGCTCTCAACATCTCCAAGACAACATTTAGATATTTTACAAATTCACCGCCAATACTGAGAGCCATATCGCCAAATGCGGACAATATTTGTGGTTTGACACTACGATGCAACGTAGGCTCGGACAAGTTGGCCAAAAGGAGATTCATTATTTCATCGCAGTAGGGAATAATGAGCTGCTTGAGAGCACGGCATATGTCACCGGTTAGGCCTACTGCTGCACAACAAACTTGATATTCCTGGTGATTCTTCAAACCCATATACAAGAATGGCTTGAAAGCATCCATGTACTTGACGAATTTCAATCCTAATAATTCCACCAAGGTGGATACAGCCAAGAAGGCATCCTCCTGGACACCACCCGATTTACCCGAGCTTGAACTGAACATGGTGAGTAGTGCTGTCATAATGGCATCCGAAATTTGTGGTGCATCATCTTCACGTACTTTGCGCAATACACTTTGCAGTGTAGCACAGAGCAGAGATTGCAAATCATTGAACTGGTGGCGATCGTTGTGACTGGAAATGTGAGTTTCCATTTGCAAAACTTGATTAAGACGTTCCAAAATGACAATTGTTGTACGCTGAACAATCAAATAACAATCCAGGGGCGAGTTCTTGATCATGTCCATAAGTGCTTCATAAGCAGCTGCACGCAAGTTTCCTTGATTGGCATCCTGACGGTCAGTGGTTTCCAAAAGTTGGGTAATTATGTACTCAAAATATGGTGAAAGGCAATAGGTTTCTGGTGTTTCACTTTCACTGGCTTCAGCTGCTTCATAGGCGGCATCCGACAGACCAATGAATGCCCAGCAAACATTGGCAGCGACACGTGGTTCGGCCTTTAAACTTTGAATGAAACATTCCAACAATGGCTGCAAATATGTTTTATTGATGGCAGCATCAGGAATTATCTAGAAAATATTAAAAGTTGGGGAATTTGTTAAGTAAAATATATGTATTTTCATATAAAATTCTACTTACATCACAGATACGTCCAAAGGTCCAAGCGGTCGTATCGCGAACATTCACGCTTTGATCATACATCAAACGAATTAGAGTTGGCATAGCCTGCTCTACCAACGATTTCAAAGTATTGGCCTCAATACCACTTAGAATAGAACCAAATGCCATGACAGCAGCATCACGAAAACGCCAATCTGCCGACTCAATGTTGTCTTTAATGAAGGGAAATACATGAGGTACAATTTCATCTTCACAACATGTGGCCAAGAGCATAAGGCACACAGAAGAAGCCTTGGCTGGACTCCAGGTGTCCTCATCCTCACATTCCTCTTGCTTTGTAAGTTTTTCCACAAGAACGGGGACCAAAAACTTGAGAGCACCTCTTGCGTAATGTTTCGAAACACGCGTAGGCGGGCGACCGGCATCATTGGCCTCTTGATTTTCAATGGCCAAATCAATTTCTTCATCGCTGACATTGGACCAAAACTCTACACCTTGCAGAGCAATTTGATCATTTTCGGATTTCATGGCTTCCAATGTAATGGGGAACAAAGCTTGTGCCATATAAGGTTCCATATACTGATAGTACAATGACATGATCTTAACCAAGCACTGTAGAGCAGCTACACACACTTGAGTATCTGGTGATTGAGTTGCAACACAAACAACTTCCATTATATAGTTACGCTCAACATCCTTCTCAAAGTTGGCCTTTGTGAACTCCAAGGAATTTAACAAAGCCGTTGTAGCTGCCAAACGTACATGATTACTTGGCTCCTGTTTACGCATGCCGTGAATGATGGCTGTTAGAATTTGATTCGATTGATTTTCCAAGACACCATAACGTATGTCTTGGCAAATATAGCCGATTGCTTCTAAAGCCGCCTCACGATCCATTTCGCTGGAGCCAGCATTTACCACCTTATTTACCAGTGTCTGTATAAGCATTCCCCAACGATTGATGGGCAATTCTGCCACAGCAACATAGGCAACACATTGAGCAGCACAAGATGGTCGGGTATTTTCGGTACCCAAAGCATCAAGGATCTATAAAAGACAAAACACCAAATTAAATAACGAACGGAAGTAGTAAAATATCTAAATACTCACATTCTTCTTGATGTATTCCTTTGTGGCTTCTGGAAATTGATGCCACCTCTGTTGATATTGTAAATTAATATTCTCATCCTTACTAGTCAAATGATTCTTCAATTGCAGACCAGCTGCCATACGAGCCACAGGGCTATTGGTAACAGTGACCAGTATATCGGATAATGCCTTGAGAAATTCCGGCAAATTACTTTCGGCAGCCTGCTCCAAGAAGTTTTTCGCCGAGAGCAATTCATTTTTGTCTGAAATATGGAAATAGAGTGATTATGGTTGTCTAGAAAAAATTAAATTAAAGAGAAAAACGCACTTGTCTCCAATTGAAATTTTGCGAAAATATTTTGAGGGTCAGTAATTTGTAAAAAAAAAACCATAACCAACGGCCAAGGCTCTGTTGACTAGCATAGTTTTAAACTTTGCAAGTTATTTTTTTAATGCATCGAAGCTGAATACGAATACTCAAATTTTCAATTAGACAATTTTCGCGAAGTTTCCCTAATCAAAATTGGTCTACAAATTGTCACATTTTTGTAATCTTAACCATACCCTACATTATTGAATATGAATCTGTTACATATTGGTATATAAAGAAAATTGTGTCATTGGGGGATAAGAGCCTTTTTTGTAGGGGAACTAGGGCTTTTTTTCAATTGATACATTTAGAATCTGCCAACTTGCATTATTGCACTGCTGACACAGCATCTTATCTCTACAGTTTTTAATGGCATTAGATAATCAGGATTGTACAACGCCTATTCCTGTTTTCCAATGAGCCAACAAACTACAATCTCTAAACAGTAGCCGCCAATAGCTGCTAACCGTCCGTTATTTTTCAAAAAGTGCAGCTGAGAAATACAACCATGTGTACCCATTTATCCCTTCACATGCACACAACACACACATAGAACATGAAACATAAAACACAAGAACAACAACAAACTCAATAAAAGCTTGGCGGCTGTAGTTAAATAATTTTAATTCCCATTCTGCTTCTTCCCTATTTTCGTTGTGTGCAAAAAGTATGAGACGCACACACATGCCTACACAATCAACGAAAGGTTGTGGGGGGAAACAAAGGGGAAGCAGAAATGCCTGCACCTATACAAATAAAACGGTCTTAATTATGTGTATACAAGCGCCAAAATTACTACAAAATGCATTTATTTTTTCAAGAAAATCCTTCTTACCTGGTGAAACAGTCTTTTCCAAGATTTGTATCAACTGCATAGTTATTTGTGGATGCATCATGATAACACTTGTTTTTGCACTGGACTCCAATCGTTGACTCAATGGAAAATTAACTGCGAAACGAACGTCTGCAGCGTGGAAAAAATTAGAAGTTTTGATTAACCTTCACTGTGCAATTTGCAATCTTGCTCAACGAATGGGTTGCAACAAAACCTACCTTTTCAATGCACGTTGTTATAATCCTTTTTGCTCTGCAATACTTATAAATCCTTTAAATGCAAAACGTTTTTTGTTCGTCTGGTTGCTATCGATTCGTTCCGTTCGTTGCCTGTCAATGATTGATTTGTCTCTTTTTTCCTCTTTATTTCTTTACTTCCACTGACTTCGCTTTTTTTCTTTGTTGCTTATTCGTCTTTTGAGTGTTGCTATGATCTCGGTGTTATTTTATATGTAATTGGGATGATGTCTCACACTTATTTTTTGTTACTTCGTTTCAATTTACTGCATTAATTTGCCACCTTCCAATCCAAATTTGTGCAATTCTTAATTCGTAAACGTTTGCAAAAGAAAAACGCACAAATATTCCCCTTTAATTTCCACGGTTTATTCTAGTTAATATGACTATCTTTGTTCTCTTTTTGCTTAAATTTTCACAAAGAAGCGCGTGGCTAACCGGCTGGGCACTTGGATATTGGCGAAAAATGAATGACTAAACTTGAGCCAGGGCAAACGAAGTCGACTTAGAACTTATCGATTTATCGAAGAGTATAAATCCAAGTGTATTCAGTAAGGTTGCCAAAAAGTCAGCTGTTGACACAATTAGATGTCAAAATATTCTTTGGAATATAAAAAATATATATTTAAGGTTGATTTTATAAATTGCATTAGATCTTCTTTTCTTTGAATTGATGGCGTATTTTCAAGAAGACATGGTAAGGCATGCTTTCATCATGTTTTGTTGTTAAAACACAACTTTTTGAATTTTAAAAAATATTTATTTTCTTTATTTTTGATGAATTTTGCGCAGAAAAAAATTGACAAAAAGAGAAGACTAATTCGCCTATTGTATTCGGGATTTCACTAATAAAGGTGAGAGTACATAAGCAGCTTAATATCATGACTATATACAAAAAAATACAGCAGGATTCGCTTGCGGCTCTGGCATTTATTTATGATATGTCACAAAATATGCTATGCGAAGACTTCAAGCTGCTTGTGTACCCACACCTCAAATGCTTCAATGTTGTCTTCCAAAGCTCAATTAAAGAGGATTTGTCTATTTAGACATGAGCTTTAACATAGTCCCACAAAAAATATTCTAAAGGTGTAAAATGGAACGGATGTCTACTGGAAATAAAAAGTTTCTCCCACGGCTCAATAAGAAAGGTTGCTTAACTTTAAAGAAACTAGAGAAATTCAACTCTGTGCTGGAGTCTTATAGTATCAAATAGACTTTAAAATATGCAACAGCTGTTTTTTTTTTATTTTTATTTTTTTTTAACAAAATTCTAATATTGGGGAAATTCCGCGAAACAAGAATGGAATTTCTGGGTTGTTCCACAAGATGGAACCTAAAATAGTAGGACAATATAGTTTTATCACAAAATTGTATAATTTGTTACCCATTTCGTCGAAAATTTGCATTTAATTTGCAACTAAATTTGAAATAATTTCAAATTATTGTATTTTTTTCAAAGCAATGCACACGCATATAAAAAATGTGTATACGTTTTGACAGAATAAGGGCACAAAAAGAAAAAAAATTGTTAGCTTTGTGCTACCTTCTATAATTATGCCATGGTTTCTCCGAGCTCGCCACTCAATAATTCCATTGTTTCGCGTTCTGTGTGGTAACATTTTGTTGAAACCGCAGGGCATGCAAGTCAAGCTCTTGTATTTTGTGCAAAAAAGTTGGATATTAGACGTTACGATTCGCAGCATCTTTAAAGAAATACGGCCCAAAAATGGCCCAGCCCATAAACCGTACAAAACTGTGGGGTTTTCTTTTAATGCTTTTGGAATGCTTCTGGCTGAGCTTCATTCCAAAATCCACAATTCTGTTTATTTACTTAATCATTGAGCCAAAAATGAGCTGAACACAATTTCTTAACAGATTTCAAATGTCAACTCCATAGCATATACGTCATGCTCATAATCCAGTGAATATTATTTAACGTATACGCCATGGAATTGACATTTGAGATCGAGTGGATTTCGGAAAGTTTCTCAGCGGTAATTAAATTTAATTCATGTATACATTGCGAAAAAAAAACATGATCGATTTAAAGAGTAAAAACTTTAATTAGTTCATATTAATATAAATACACAGATAATATAAAGTTAATAATAAGACACTTGGTTATAATATTACTTATATTCTAAATTAGAATTCAGACACTGAAATGTCAATAAAAAATAACTGAGTTTTGGGATGGATGAAAAAAAAATATTTTCCTAGCTTCTCCCTGGGTGTATTGCACTTTTGTTTTTTCTTCATGGTAAATAAACCTTACTCTATGTCCTATAAATGCTGGATTCTTGTATGTAAGATGTACAGAAGACAGGTGTCTTTGTTAGAACTTGAGATTTTGCTGTTGTATTATGTGGCCATACTGTGGTATTCACTTTTGGCGATTGTGGGGAATTTACTACCTTTGGCTGCATTTTATGGCAAATTCCGAAATTCGCCGCCTGTGAATCGTATGCAGAGTACCTTTCTGACAGCGTATTACTTGTTATGTTTTGCGATGGTCTTTGTGATATAGAAAGATTATTTCTGGAAGTATTCTTCAAAATACCTTTAAGGGTACTTTTAGTTTGAGCATTTGTGGACTTTGTTGATAATTTGGTGGAATTGTTCAAGGCTTCGGATTCCGATTTTTTTGTTTTGGCTCCGGCTGCGGAACGTTGAGTTAAATGTAAAGATTCCTTGTTCTTGGGAACGTCGTCTCTAACACGTATTTTGGTATTAACTGCAATATGAACGTTGGATGCAGCTGCTGTCGGTTTCTTAGCTCCAAGACGTTTCACTGTTTTCGCTTGTTTCTGATTGCCAGATATGGCATTTTGTATTTTACGTATAAGTAATTTTCGTGTTGAATCTGTAACGGGGATATTGGCAAGGCCGCATTCTAGACATTTTTTATGCAACTCTTTGTTGCTGAGTTGTTCCAAATCTGCCATTTGTTTATTTAAAGTTTCTGTAATTATAAGAAATATACTATAATATGAAAATGTTATGAAAATATATTACTAAAATTTCTCCCACTGTTTTTTTTTTATTTCCCAATTTGTGAAAATCAATTTAATACCATCTCTATGGAAATGGTGTAGTTTACAAACACAAAAAGTATACAAAGAAATGAATCATTGTTAATCCAAACAAATTGGATGCTAACTTTCTCAGTGTTTTGTAACAAGAAATTCTGGTCCAAATGGTATTCTGGATACTGCAATATAATATTAAACACTTTTCTTTGTATTTGTTAAATTTTGTTTAAATAAACACGTGTATAATTCCGTATATGTAGATACTTTTACATCAAAATACACGTAACGAATCGATCCGCATCTACCTAATTTTAAAATAGACCACAACAACCTAAGAGAACAACTAACAGCAGAATGCAGAGTTGAGCTACAAGCTACGGAGCTACAAGCGTGGTATTAAATTAAATATGGCAACACTGAAAAGAAAGACAGCACAGAGAGAAAATCGAAATAAAGATGGAATCAAAAGGGAAAGGCGGACAACACAAAAGGAATCAAAACAAAACGGCCGACAACACAGCAACAGATGTTTAAGATACAAGCGATACAGTAGCGTCGCATACAATAGGGGCCATCGGTCATTTTGACAGATGAGTTACTGGGAGTTTGTAAAATCTTATTAGAATAATTTACACAGTAAGATCAACTGATTGAAAAAATGTATTGTGGCCGATGCAAAAATGTTTGATAATTTCAGACAATAGTTTACTTATTGTACCCTACACCACAAGGTGGTCAGGGTATTATGCCTTTGTCACAGACAAAAGGAAACGAGATAGACCTATAGATCCTCCTGATGACCTGCATAGAATCACATTCTGAGTCGATTTATGCATGTTCGTCTGTGTCCATGTATTCTTGTAAACAAAGTACAGGTCGCATTTATTGCCCGATCAAGATGAAATTTTGCACAAATATTTTGTTTGACCCAAGAACAAACCCTATTGAAATTGGAGATAATCGGTAAAAATTTAAATATATATCCCATATATATCTTCGTCCGATTTGCCTTTTATTGTGCAGCAAACGTGTAATATCAGCCCAAATAATATAGAATTTTGGACACACGACCAAATAAACCCTGAAAATAAGTATGCCAAATTGTATCGAAATCGATTCAGATATACCTATAGCTCCCATATATATTGTTCATCCAATTTGTCATTTTTGCCCTCCGCAGCCATAATATGCACTCTGTAACAACGATATTTGGGGAAATATATTAAATACAACTCAGAAATACCTTTGCTAAATTTTTTTTCGATCGGTTCAGATTTAGATATAGCTCCCATATATCTTCGTCCGATTTGCCTTTTATTGTGCACCAAACGTGTAATATTAGCCCCAATAGGATGGAATTTGGCACTTAGGACCAAATTCAGTCTTGAAACAAATATGTCAAATTTGGTGAAAATCGGTTCAGATATAGCTTTAGCTCCCATATATATCGTTTATCCGATTTTTTGAATTTGTCCTGCACAGCCGCATTATGCACTCCGAAGTAACAATATTTGGGGATATCTATCAAATACAGCTCAGAAATACCTTTGCCAAATTGTATCGAGATCGGTTCAGATTTGGATATAGCTCCCATATATATCTTTATCCGCTTTCAAGTTAATTGTGCACCAAATGGATAATACAAGCCCGAATTCAAAAGGCACAAATGCCTCAGCAAATTTAGTAGAAATCGATTCAGAGGGGGATATTCCTCTGATATATAAGTTGCTTTGGACTATATAACTTATAACTATAATCATAGTTGGAATGATTTAATTCACACAAATTCCCCATAAAAACTTTTATTTGTTATGTGAAGCTTAACTAAATATGTAAAGTGGTGTAGGGTATCATAAAGTCGGCCCACTCAAGACTTAAACTGTTCGAAGATCATGACGAACTTGAAATCCGAAATAAAGTCGGCCCGCCCGACTTTAAGACTATCTTTACTGATTCTAATTATTTTTCTGATTATAAGCATTCAACATTGCATTGCACCATTAAATAACTAATTTTTCACAATCAAAATCGCAAATTTGATTATATTTGCTCAACAATTCACTGGGATAACGCATCGTTGTTCAAAACAGCTGTTTTCTTATTAGATTTTCTTAAAAATAATAACTTTTTGGATAACTTTTTGAAATATTTGTACAGTAAACTTCACTGTCATACCAATTTTGGAATTTATTTTTTTTAAAGAAAAATTATTTAAATTTGTTGAAATTGCTCAAAAACGCATATTATAAAAACCTCCGATTGACGTCGTATAAGAAAACATATAAAAATCTTCTTATTTTTGAATACATTTTGAAATTTTTGACACATTAATGTTCCTAAGCGTTGATGCATCTGCCTGTATTCTTCTACCATGGTACATACCTATAGTCTATCTTCGCACATACCTTTTCAATTATAACAATTGTAAAATTTAATTAAAAGTTAATGTTTTATTTGAGAATCTCGAACGAAGCTTCTAACCCATAACAATTCAAATTACAAACAGAAAACGTCTAATTACGAATGGAATTTGTTGTACGAAATTACAAAGTACAACAATCCATTTCAAATTAACCCAGTTTGAATATATAAACAACACATTCCATATGCACTTTCATCTTAACTTTGTAATTAAATATTAGGTTCAAAATTAAAAATTCGTAGGTGAAAATTCCAATTCTATCAATTCTACCATTATGTTAATAAGGGTACAACGCTCTTATCACATAAACATCATAATACACCCAATGACACAACGAAAACTACTTTGCATTTTTAAGTACATATGTATTTTAATATATTTATTTAAACAACAATAATAACAACATAAGCAGATTTTTTTTCCCAAAAACTGTATATAAAAAACATTGTTACCTTATCAAAATCTCTTTAAAATCTTATCACAATTGAAAAATTCTACAAATAGTTTTCTTATTTCGCTTATAATTTAGCTTGTGTGGGTAATATCAACACTTTTTCACTTACTAATTTTTGCAATTCTTGGCTGCTTAATTTTAAATCTCTAATAATATCCAGTGACTCCTCAACGGCCTCCGACGATGAGCTGGGCCGCGTTGAAAGCTTACCAGGTGTACGACTTAGACGTGGTGCCGGATTGGGTGCCAAACAACCATCATCCAATTTTTGAAATGCCTGTCGTGCTTTATTGTGCTCATGTTCCATGACATTTTCCCAATCGACAACGGGATAAACACAAGCATCGTTATCCTCAAATATGGCCGACCATTCAGCTTGAGTTTTTTCCAGGAATTTTTTGGTTACCAAATCTTTGGCAGTTTGCATTTCATTCTCATCGGCAATAGCCTGAGAAAGTTCTGGAAGACCCAATTTCTGTTTGAATTCTTCGAAAAATTGTTGTTCCAATGCCCCAACGGACATATATTTTCCATCTTTAGTCTCGTACACATCATAAAAGTAAAAACCACCATCCAGTACATTTGTGCCACGTTCACCTTGGAACAGAGAGATAACATTGCGAGCCATAAATAGCCAACTTGCCACATATGCTGCACCATCAACCATTGCCGAATCAACAACCTGGCCTCGTCCTGAGCGATGACGTTCCAGCAGGGCCATACAAATACCCAAAGAACACATCAGCCCACCACCAGCAAAATCTGCCAATATATTTATGGGAGGTTGTGGTTTTTGGTTTTTATTACCCAACATGGATAACACACCAGAAATGGCGGCATAATTTATGTCATGACCAGCACGAGCAGCCAATCGACCATGTTGGCCAAAGCCTGTTAATCTGGCATAAATGAGTCTGGGATTGTCTTTGCAAAGAATTTCGGGACCCAAATTCAGTTTTTCCATAATTCCCGGACGGAATGGTTCGATGAGAACATCTTGAGTTCCGGCCAATTTGCGGGCAAGTTTTTGTCCTTCGGGCACCTTTAGATTAATGGCCAAAACACGTTTGCCACGATTCATACAATTGAAATGATTATCTGGGACCTTTAAAATAAAATTGAAGAACATTATAAAATTGACTTAGTCTGAAGTCTATTAACTCACCCTATCTATAACAGTAACCTTTGCCCCAAAGTCAGCCAAAATTTTTCCACAAAACGGTGCTGGGGCCAGACCGGCAAATTCCAATACTTTAATACCTTTAAGAGGCATTTTCTTAAACAAAAATCGTTGCTTAATTCGATGCGTTCCTATTGAGCTATATTAACGAATTAACATACCAGTCCATATAGTGAAGTAGCCAAAGAGTTTGTTGTTTAGAGTTTAATGGAACTTGTTTGCTTGCGTTGTGTACTTGTTGCTGTTGTTGTATTGATAATTTATTCTTTATTCTGGCGGTTCGGGGTTTATTTAACAATAAACTTTTTCTGGTTGCCTTTGATAATGCATACAGCTGTGTAGACCAGTGTTACCGCTAAAATGTTGTTAAAAAATGGTACAAAAAGTCGTTTTCTCAAAATAGGCACACAGAAAAGCTATTTTTTAAATAAAAAAGCTGCACTTTTTGTTTAATTTTTTCTTTAAATTAAAACAGAAAACCAAAAATAAGTCCAGATTTATACTAGGCGAATTTACTGGCGGACTTTTTATCGTTTCCTTTGGAACCTGCCTCTTGGAGTTAAGCAGGGTAATTCTTTTCAGCAATTTTCCTTTTTTATACCCTACACCACATAGTGGTAAGGGTATTATTTCATTGTGCATTTGCTTGTTAAAGGGAGAAGAATATTCATAGAATCACTTTCCAAGTCGATTTATGCACGTCAGTCCATGTATTCTTGTGAACAAAATGCATGTCGCATTTATTTGCTTGGTCCAAGGACAAACCCTATTGAAATTGGTGATAACCGGATCAGATTTAGATATAGCTCCCATATATCTTCAACCGATTTTGGGTTAATTATGCACCAAATGCCAATATAAGTCCAAATGACCTGAATTTTGGTAAATCCCACCAACTTCAGAATAGAAGCAAGTACATCAAGCTATAGCTCCCATTTATATGTTTATCCGATTTGGGGTTTTAAGTCCCTCACATGCGCGATATGCATTCTACAACAATGATCTTTGGTACAAGATATCAAATTCAGCTCTGAAATAAGTATATCAAATTTTGTCAAGATCAGTTCAGGCTTAGGTATAGCTTCCATATATATTCAACCGATTTCGGGTTGCACACGAATGATACCGGACATCAAATACTGCTCGTAAATACCTCAGTCAAATTTTATCGAGATTGGTTCGGATTAGGATATAGCTCCCATACATATCTTTATCTGATATTAGGTTTATTGTGCACCAAATGGCTAATATCAAATGGACTGAATTTTGGAACATCCGACCAAATTCAGTCTAGAGGCAAGTACATCAAATTTGGAGAAAATCTGTTCAGATATAGCTATAGCTCCCATATTTCAGGTCTATTGTACAAATAATAGCTAATATCAGCCCAAATGGAGTGAATTTCGGGATGTACGTTTCCATTTTGTGGAACTCGGCTCCGATATATATTTTTTAATATAATCCTTATATCATGCACTCAATAGCAATGTTATTTATTTTAAAAGATTAAAATGTCTTCATTAAATTTAGTGAAAATCGATACATATATTTTTTTCTCTCTGAAACCAAACTGTAACTGCTCTAAAGCCAAACATTGATATAGGTGGTATGATCCACTTCAAATATATTCTTTTGGTTACAGGAGCTCTACTAAATATGCATAGTGGTGTAGAGTATCATGTAGTCGGGCCCGCCCGGCTTTTGACTTTTCCTTACTGTTTTTTTTGTATAAAAATAAAAACTCAAAAGGACAGTACAACAGTACAAGTTTTTTCCAATTTCTATTCCCCTTGCCCCTCTCTCCATTAAAAAAAAAGAATTGCCGCCAGAGAACTTGCCTAATATAAGCTCGAACTAAAGCTAGGAAAAGTGGTAAAACAATCTTACGATAATTTCTGTATTTTTGTACAAGTCCGTCTTTAAAATCAATGCAGGGATCTGTAAAGAGTGAAAATGTATTCCATGGTAGAAGAATCCAGGTTGACGCATCGAGACAGCTGCTGGGAAAATGAACTGTCAATTTTGGGATTAACAATTTTGAATGAAAAATTATGCAAATTTGTAAGAATTGTTAAAAAAACGCATATCATAATAACCTCCGATTGGCGTCGTATAAGGAAACATATAAAATTCTACTTTTATTTGAAAATAACATTTTCCATTTTTTAAAATATCAGGTTCTGTGTCTAAAAAATATGAAAAGATAATCGTTACACTTTTCTTCACATTGGTCTTTATTTAAAAATCTATTTGGTATTCTTTGAAAAAATAAAAATTATATATACAATCGTTATATAAATATATTATGTCTCTATATGTAATATAATGTTCATGACAATAATGATGGTATAAACGATGAAGTAAGTGTTTCCTTTAATTGTATACATTTACGATATAAAACTATGCGATCATCACAAATAACCGGATCTTGAAGCATTGAATCAACCACCTGTACAATGCGTTGCAAATCATGCTGCATATGATAATCATTGGGTATATAATGATCGAAAAATATCAATTTGGAAGACAGTGTCGGTGATGATGTCGACGACATAGATGATAATGGTCTTGTTGTTGTGGTTTTTTGTTGATGGTGGTTGTCAGTTAAATCTGAGGCAGTGTTATTATTTCTAGCTATCAAACGTCTTTCGGTTATTGATTGTAATAGTTGTATAAAATCGAGGTAGTTTATCCCAAAACTTGCACGTAACATTGTCTGACAGTGGTCATTGAAGTTATCCATTTGACGGCAGTCATCTATTTCGGCCATAACACGTTGCATCTGTTGCGAGAGATTGTTCCAAATACGTTCTAAATTACAGGCATTGAACCAGTTGTGATTAACAGATATGGTATCGGTGACATTGGATACTTGATGATACCAGCCACTGGGTACAAACAATGATTCATTCTCTTTTTGCAGTAATGTATAAAAATGGACATTATGTTCCTCCAATAGCTGTTCGTCGATACAAAAAGGTAAATTGCCCAAACGGTCGTTCAGTTTTAACTCTTCACCCGGTGGTAAAAGTAGCCACTTCTTGATGCCAATTATGTTTGTCGACCAACTAAATGATCCAAAAACATCCGAATGAAATGGTGTCCTTGAAATATAATTGAAATAAATTATTGCCTACCTATATGCAATAGTCTGGCAAATATTGTTGTGTTTACTTACCATGTGCCCTTTGGTCCCATATAGACAAAACGATAATCATCACTGTTTGTGGCCAATAAATGTTCATTCAGCCAATCGGAGGCAAAATGTTTAGGAACTTTATAGAAGTCATAGTTGGGATTCTGAGCCTTCAAATGCCAGTCTTTTAGGTACAATAGGTCGGTGGAATTTTCTTTCCTGTTGCTTAATTCAGTGGGATTGGTCTCGTGTTCGTTTCCCTGTTCATTTTGCCAATACTTTAAGAAATCATAAAACAACATTTCACTCTTGGCATGGCTATTAAAATATTCCACGCCACAATTGGCCACTGGCACCAGAGTGTTGTCAATTCTTTCCTTGAGGTAGTCATAGTTAATGCTAGTCTTGTTGGTAGTAGAGGTATCAAACGAATCAGCTGCAGTTTCTGATTTTACCCAATTGCGACATTCCCAGTGTGTGGACACCTGTTCCAACACAACTGGGACATTACGTTCCATAAACAGCCAATAGAAATCATTGTAACTTATTTCGTTGACATTGAAGCGTTGTATATTCTGGGGATATTGTGGGAGTATTTCTTGATTAATTGATGGTACTTCTAAATCTAAAATCTCGAAATCACTGGCCATAGGGGGTTAATGGAATTGAGTAAAATATGTTAAACGAATTCCCACATATCAACTCAGCAGCAACTAAATGGAATATTATTTTAAGTTCACATGTGAATGTGAATTACACAAAAATATAAATAAAAACTAAAATTTAATTAAAAAACTAGATTCTCGTCGCCTCAACTCAACGAACTGGCTCATACGAATTATTCAATGTGTGGAACTAGTGGAAAGGACATCAGCTGTTATAAGTACGGTAGATGAAGACGACTGAACATACCTCATAACATAGACAATCAGCTGAATGTTCAATAACAGTGGCGCTTACAACGCCATCTACATTATAGCTCTTGTGAAGCTTCATCCATGGTATAATTATTACAGCTAACAGCAAGTCCCAGCTGATTTGACTCTATAGTAATACTAGTGTCAATATGACATTTTGTGATTTAATTCCATTTCTTTATATACAATAGGTATATACAATTTCACTGCAGAGTAATGTGAACATATTTTTTGCCTAATAATAAATCGCAGTTGAACTTCACAAAAACGCCAAAGGCGATGGTTCGGAAACTTTTTTGGAAAAGCGACACAACGTTAAATAATATATTCGTATATTTCTTGTTTCCTAAAATTGCAAAATGTAGAATACTTTATGTATGTATGCTGTTTGGTTTCAACTTGAAAGGGATGTTGCCTTTTCCACGATTTTCTAGCGATTGCTTGAAGTGTTGAGATATTAGGACCAATATACATTCAGGGGAATGACGTGAAAGCATCAAAATTAAATATTTTAAGAACTATTCCTCTGCATTTCAATTCAATGATCAAAATTCCAAAAATTTATATTTTTGAAATTAAAATAATCTATTGAAAATTAATTATTTTGTTTAAATTTTTGGACACATTACTCTGACACTTGTACTACGTACAAAAACAAATTTGTATGTGGTTGTTGTTACGATTGTTGTACAACAACACTTGCTGTTATCTGAATTGATTTTACATATTCACATTGAATATCTAAAAAATTAATACATTATTTCTTTTAAGGACATAAGACTAAATATTCATGAAAAAGTTATAGAGAAAAAAGTGTCAAAATATCCTTCTGTCAGTTTTGTTTTGTATTCATGATACAATAATCACAAGAAATTTGAAAAACACAACCTACAGTTTTTATTCCCCCAAAATCTGTAAATTTGAATATTTATTTCAACAGAAATTGTAAATTTTCCAAATAATTGTGAATATTATGTTCCAGCACCTTCAAGAATCTACTATTTTTGGAATTTTTTTGGATCTCATAAAGGCAGAATCGCTTATCGTAGTAAAAACTTTTACATTCTTGCAGTTCTGGAACAAACCAAAGGCAGGTCAGATTTATCACATTTGAAAAACACAACAAATGTGTTAGAGTTTTAGTTCCCCCAAAAGCTGTAAATTTTAATGTTTATTTCAACACAATTTGTAAATTTTCAAAATTATTTTGAATATTATTTAAAACAATACATAGGCACACAAAATCTATGAATGTGTTTTGATATTACAAGGCTATAAAATGGTACAATAAAATACAACAATAACCTCATTTCAAATTAGCATGTCGAGCTCTGCATTTTCTGTAATTTACCTTGTCAAATTTCAATGCATAAAAAACAGTTCCCATGATGATTTTGTGTGTATACAATGGATTTATGAATATAGGTTTTGACAATAGGTTACGATAACCTCAAATGTATAAATTTGAAAAAATTATAAACATATGATTTGCATGACTTTACCTTCTTATTTCTACCATGGGCTATAAGAAGAAAGAAAACATTTTATTAAGGCCATATTATGCCTTACCTTGAAAATTATTGTACACTGTTTGTGTTTATTGTTTTGGAAAATAAAAACCACAAAAAAAAAATCAGAATCAATTGAATGTATCGTTAGAAAGATGGTAGAATTAAAAAGTTAACATAATTTCAGATAAGCATCCCCAGCCCTGTATTTTCTGTAATTAAACTTATCACCATGGCCAATGTAATGTCAGCCATCAAGTTCATCTGACAACTAAGTTTGCTGTCAAAAGAGATAAATGTTATTTGAAATGCAAAGAATATCAAATGGTGCAAAAACTGCTAAGTCTATTGTGAAATTGTTGCCAAAAGTGTCCTTCTTGTCCGATATTATCTGGGTCTTGCTTGTGTTTCTCACCTCTGATTTGATTATATACAATGAATATAAATTTTGACAATGATAAAGATTTGTAGAAAATGCAAACATATGCTTGCACGCCGTTATCTTCTTAATTTTACCGAGGTTAGATTATGTGGCGTTTCCACTGCACTTGATTCGGTCTCTATTCGTTGTTTGACCCTTAACTATGAAAAAACTACCTAATTCTTCACACAAAAGTTGTGTTCCAGAACCTACAAATTGGTACTAATTAGTACTAATTCTGCTACAACGCGTTCCCGTACTGCAAAAACTAGCAAAACTTGCAGCTCTCTCGAGAAAAAAATGGCGCTGAGTGGTGCACATTTCTGCTTGTTTTAGCTACATGAATTTGGCCGAGCAGAAATGTGCAAATTGTGAATTTGACATTTAATTGGCAGGGCTAACAAGGTTGAAAAATGTATTGATACATTTCAATGTTCCCGCGCCATAACAAAAATAAAGAAATGATCAATTTAAAAACTAAAGGAAAAACTAATATTTGTAGTGCAAAAAAACAAAAAGAGAAAATATGGAGCACTTTTGGATGATTCCAGTAGTGAAGAGGACTGGCTGAATGTGAATCAGATTATTAATTATTATTATAGATTGTTAATTTTAACGTATCGTCTTCAATACTAATTTTTTTAAATTTTGGCGTCCTTTTCAGTAAGGTTTCACCAGTCCGATTTGGACTGTTTACTCTTGGAATTTTGAATTTTGACATTTTATCGCATTTCTGCTAATTTTCCGTTCCCTTATTTTTTGAGCACACCTAATTGAGAATGACATTTCGATCTGTTCTCTCTTCTGCTAGTTTTACTACTAAAAAAGTATTGGAACACAACTAAAATTTCCTGAGCGAACACTCATATTTGTACATTGTTCAAATCAAATCACTCTCAGAACAACGAAAAAATATGTCCCATCCCTAACAAATGAGAGCATTTATCGAAAAAATAAATTGTGACATTTAAAAATTAAAAATAGAAAAATTTGATGAAATTTTAAAAATTTTTGGGAAGACTGAAAATTATGAATGAAAACTACAATGTTGAATGGCGTATGTATATTCAAACGAAAGTAAATTTTGTTTTCTCTCTCATTCGAGGTACGCATTTTGTCCATGAGTTAACATTTCCACAGAAAACGCAAACAAAAGAGGCAACATTTTCAAAATGTTTCTATCGGCAGAAAAAATGTTTGACAAGTGTCTCTCCAGCAAAATTTAAAAATAGAAAAATACAAAAATATGTTCAAAATGTCAACATTTACACATAAAGTTGAAAACGTGAATGAAAATTATAAAATTAATGATATAATAAATCTTTGGGAGAAAAACAATCATTTCTTCTATTCATATTAGTGAGAATTTCATGTATTTTCGTATAAATTCCCATTAAAATCAACAAACAAAATTTTTGAAAAAAGGAATTATTTTACTATGAATTACGAATCGTGCCGTATGAACGGGTTAATTCGTGTACCTAATTCTGAGAGCGAACAACGTTGTTCGGTTTCCAATGGAAACATGCTATTATTCTGTTAAGATAAATTTGACCCAAAACATATGCAATGTCTGTAAAAATTATAATTCTGCCACACTTCGTACGCTTTATTTCAAGTGTACACATTACCTCAACTGTCTGTCAAAAAAAAATGCTACCAGCTGATACAATCGAAAAAGAGTCGGACGCATAGTTTCGTTGCTGCCGAACGAACGAAGGAATTTTTTGCATTTTTCTTAAATAACAAACAAATAAAAACACCGGATTCTAACAAGATGCCACAAGTCAGCAAATCCGAAGATGAATTTGGAAAGAAAATCGACCGTTGCATTACCGACATGGGTATAAAAAGTGTTAGCGGATTGGCCATCGGTTCAGTTCTCTCGCTGCTCATTTTCAAGAGGAAAGCATGGCCCCTTATAATGGGCACTGGTTTCGGTGCTGGAGTCTCATACAGAACATGTCAAAAAGATCTTAATATGTAATTTATGAAATAAAGATTAGAAAAATGCTAAACAAGTGCCTGAATTCATTAAAAGCAGATGGTGGAAAAAATAAAATGGTTTGCTAAATGGACCCTATGTACCCAAGTAAAAATTGTGTTTCTTGAACAGTGTCGTAGTTGTTGCCAAGTTCGTTTGTCCCAATGAAAATTTCTTACGTAATTTCTGCTTGCTTTCTGCAAATTTTTTAATATTTCGTTTGGCAGTACATAGTATAAAGTGATGAATTTGTGATCAAGCAGTAAGCGATTATATAGATATATGACAAACATGTTAAAATGCAAAATTCATGATTACAATAAAAACATTGTTAGGGATTTGTTTGCTAGAGTCAATTACTTCATCGGCCGTAGCAGACGCTTTTTACTACTGTTTGACATCATCGTGTTGCCAGTTGATTTCAACGAGCAAATCGGGGGATTTTCTCAAAAAGTTGGGGGATTTTCTAATTAAATTAACTCTATGTAACTGTAGACCTAGGGACATTTTTTCAAGAAGTGCGGGGATTCTATAATTTAATTAATGATTTTTTTGCATACTTATATGGATAATAGGTATTAAAAATGGTTATAACCCCAACTTAACATTTACTCCCAATTTAAGGTATATTTGGGTAACAACTTCAAAATAAGCTAAAACCTGACATTTCGGTTTTTAAATTGGTATATTTCTTTTTTTACAAGACATGTTCAATTTCAATCGGGAAACTAATTATTTCATGTTTTGGCAATAGATTATTGTGAAGAGTTTTAAAATTGGAAATTAAACTCTGTTTTATTTGTTTTTAAATAATTTTTTGCTAGTACAGGGTGGCGCTTATTTTTTGGGATACAAATAAAATGTATTATTGGTACATTTTGTATTTTTTATACAAAATTTATTGTAGGCTTGTACCACATAGTTGGAAACGGTAAGCTATGGTAAATGACAGCAAAAGAATAAAAAATAAAAAAGTCCTTTACAAATATCAGAAAATAACTTTGCAGGTTTCAAATGACGCTGTAATCCCGAACAAGCACCATGGCCTAATGTGATAACCGTGGTGAGATATATTAAACCAAGGATAAAAATTATATATAACTTTACGAAGACAAGCCTGCCAAATCTTATTCTCTTTTCTCTCCATTATTTGCACAATAAACCTGAAATCGGATTAATGATATCCGATCTCAATAAAGATATTTGGTACCAAATATCATTGTTGTCGAATGCATATTACGAATGTGAGGGACTTAAACACCAAATCCGATGAAACGTTTATATAGGAGCTATAGCTATATCTGAACCGATTTTCTTCAAATTTGATGTACTTGCTTCTAGACTGTATTCGGTCGAAGGAGCCAAAATTCAGGACTTTTTGGGCAGATATTGGCCATTTGGGGCACAATTAACCCGAAATCAGATAAAGATTTATATGGGAGCTACGTCTAAATCTGATCCGATTATCACCAATATTAATAGGGTTCGACCTTGGGCCAAATATTTTTTTTTGGAAAATTTCATCTCAATCGGATAATAAATTCGACCTGACAAGAATACATGAACGGACGGACAGACAGCCTGACATGCATAAATCGTCTCAGAAAGTGATTCTATGGAGATCCTCAAAAGTAACTATGGGTCTATCTCGCTTCCTTCTACATGTCACAAACAAATGCACAAAGACATAATACCCTTACCATTATGTGGTGTAGGGTATAAATAGACATAACCGAGTTTAGTTTTTAGTACGATTTTGACCATTATTTTTTCGGCGGCGGGAGAATGACTTTTCGATTGATTTACGTTCTCAATTCTTCGGATCTTCAATTCTACTTTATATAACGAGAAAATACTATTCGAAATTTGTCATTGCTGGTTCTAAGTCGCTAGTTTAACCCTCGCAGAGTAAATAATCAAATCAATTTTCTCCTCATCTTGGCAGAACCTACAGTAATCGTTATCATAGCTAATCCACTTAGAAGTCAGCGCTCTCACGATGCAGTGGCCTGTGATGATACAAACCACAAGTTGTAGGTCAGGTTTCACCACGAAGACGAGTGGTCTTGTTCTCTTCTCGGAGATTATAGGCCAGATTTTCTTAGGGACATTACATTCCCTCTCATCTAGTTATTTTTGTTGGAATCTCTTGTTGAAATTTGTCAGAGCAGTGTTTGTGTATTGCACGAAAAAGGTGGCACAGGGGTGGTCTAACCGAGTTTTCAACTTCAATGTCTGTTGGTTCGGATTCCCGTCTTGTCAGTTCATTTCTCTGTCTCAGTACCTGGAATATGGTAATGTCCTGGAACCCAATAGAGCTTGATAGACAACCCAGTGTTTTCCAAGGATTTTCTGCACTTCAAAACTGCCATAAATTTAATGGAAAAAGAATTTTAATCCTCAATTTCACTGTTTCACTTTTCCTGTTTGCTAATAGATCGATCTATGGCTTTTTGACCACCAAGATTTCCACCTCGAAAATACACTAAAGTCGTCGCTAAGTTTGCAGGATGTACCTATATTGAGGATATCACAGAAGGCCCTAACACCTATCCCACATTCCATCTTAGAATCGTCAGTTTAGACAGCTACACCACATAAAGGACGTAAAGTATTTGGACGTCAAGTGATTCGATGTTCAACCGTGGCGATTTGTAGTCACCAGTATTGACTTCCTTTCTTAAACATTGCCCACGATTCTGCATTTGGAAGGTTTTTGTCCCAATTTCCAACCAAATCAGCTGTAATTTGCTATTTCCGGGTTTCTGTGGGGAGTTTAATTCCTCTTTAATACTAATCAATCTAGTTTCACCTTTCCACTATGCCTGCTGTTTGCAGCCCCAATTCGCGACCAAAGCAATTACAATTTTACATATCGGCTTCTCTATGGATAGGGATATTCCTCTCAAAAATTTAGATATAATCCCATATGGCAAAACCCTTAATTTGTAGGGATTTAGGGAAGGACATTTTGGCTTGTTCTCTTTGTTGTTGAATTTGTGTGAGGTAGGTACAAGATTGTTGAATGTGTTGGACAGAAGATGTGTTGCTGCTTTTAGAACATTCGGGTTTTTTATACCCTCCACCATAGTATGGATGGTATATTAAGTTTGTCATTCCGTTTGTAACACCTCGAAATATACATTTTAGACCCCACAAAGTATATGTATATAGATTCTTGATCAGCATAAAATTCTATGGCGATTTAGCGATGTCCGTCCGTCTGTGGAAATCAATCTAGCTTCCAAACGAAATAAAGTTGGTTGATAAAATGTTACTCAAATGTATATTATGTTTGCAGGACTTTGGCTTTGAAAATGGGCCATGAAGGTCCACGTTTTGGTATAGCCCTCATATAATGGTAACTCCATATTTTCGGTATTTTGGTGATTTAAGCAACAATATTCACCGGTAATGTTTCAAATTTGGTATTTGAGGTCCGTAATGGATACTACAGCCTATGACAGAAAATTTTCTGTGCAGGTCAACGTCTTCGTATAGCCCCCATATAACGGTACTACCCGATATTCGGTATTTTGATGACTTTAGCGACATTATTCACCGGAATTGTTTCAAATGTGGTATTTGAGGTTCGTAATGAATACTGCAGCCTATGAAAGAAAATTGTCTGTGCAGGTCCACGTCTTCGTGTAGCCCCCATATAACGGTACCTCCCGATAATCGGTATTTTGATGATTTTAGCGACTTATTCACCGGAATTGTTTCAAATTCGGTATTTGAAGTTCGTAATGGATACTACAGCCTATGACAAAAATTGTCTGTGCAGGTCCACGTCTTCGAATAGCCCCCATATAACGGCACCTCCCGATATTCGGTATTTTGATGATTTTATCTACATTACTCACCGATTTTTTTTTTTAATTTCGCATTTGAATATTTTAATGGCTTATGACAAAAGTTGCCTATGCAGGTCCACGTCATCGTTTAGGCCTTAATATGAAGGCTACATTCAAGATTTTAACAGAATTTTAAACGGATTTTATGTATATATTTTTTTTTTTGAAAATCGCCAAATTCGTTCCAAATGGTGGGAATGGTGGTTAGGCGCGGCCGAACTTACAACTTTGTTACTTGTTTAATTTAAAAGAGAGAGAGTGAGGGTTTTTTTTTTACTTTAGGGAAAGTTTTAAAAAGTATTTTTACGTGGATATCGTTGTAAACTTTGTCAGGTATGCATACCTATCTTAAAATCATTTTTTTTTTCATTTTCATAACCCTCTTTGAATAGGTCCATGCACCCACCTGTGATATAAAAATTGGTTACAGTTTTGTATTGATTGAGCAATCTTTGTTTTAATTACCATATTAGTAAATTTTAGAAATTCTACTTAATAAGAGTCTGTACTTTCCTAATCGTATATGCCTGTAGAGAAGATGTTTGTACATCAAATTCTGTAGGATTGTTTCAGTTCAAAGAAATATAATAACAACAAAAAGCGGAAACAATACAAAGAAACGAGATCAGCTGCCAATAGTACATTTTAAGATAACTTGGGTTTTCCCAAACTTAAATTTCACTTTTTTTCTTATTCAATGAATGAATGAATGGGTGAGATGTATGTATGTTTATATAATGTTAACGACTCAATATGTGACATCAATGCTGCAGTAATGGGAACTTTATTTAAGTACATACATTATAATACACAGAATACTTGATGGAAAAGGGGATTTTATGTTTACTGTGACCCGTAGGGCAAATTTTGGTGATTTCCATTATGAAATAATGGTGGCAGGGAAGATCCCATAATAGGTAATCAAATCCAAGGCTAGCGAATAAATTTTATACCTATGTGACTTTGTGATGTGATATAGGGGGCAAAAAGTGTACTGCATTAGTATGTATGCTTCTACCGAGTAATATTATGTCATAGAATATATATATATATATATATATATATATATATATATATATATATATATATATATATATATTTTTTTTTTTTTTTTTTTCAATCACAAAACCCATTTCCATTTCGTGGATTCGCTTTTGCTATATGTATCGCTGGAAATTCC